ATAGCATGACATATGGGCTTGGGCCGCCAACAGAGGCACTAAACATCCAGAATCCACTACTCACAGGTAAATTCTATAAATAAGAGATAAAACATACGGGTACATTACGCTCTCTTTCTTACTGTTATGTTATCACTGTGCACACACATACTCTCTCTGGCAAAGCCGTTTATAGTTCTTCAATGCACAGTGATCTGCTTGACTCAAAAATATCTCATCCAATATTAACATACTAGTCTATCGGACTAGACATATTTGTCTTTAAGACAAAACAGTAGGAATTACATGAGGAGGACTTTCATGTGTGCTTAGAAGCTGATTAAACACGATGATTATACGAACTTTATATTAAGGGTTTTATTAATCTCATGTTAAAGAAAATAAATTATCTTATGTCATAGAGACAAATTTGTGGGCTTCACCACCTGAAAAATAAAAAGAAAAGAAAAAAAATTGTGACATAATTATTGAAGGTGTGTAAGAGAGAAAGTTATCACATGTAGCATAAGAGTAATTTTTTCCTTATATTAAAGTAGATAGTGCAAACTTCAAAACCAAGGATGGACTTTGCTTTAAAAGTAAAGAAAATATTGAGTGCTTATGAAGCTATACAAGAGGAAACAACTAACGATCCAAAATTATAAAAAGTTGAAAGAAACAATAATTTGAGATGGTCTACATATGGTCATGAATCATGATGACATATGCAATTAAGCAAGTCACAAAAATGAAAGCAAAATTAAGACAAATTTAACAGAAGTGTTTCGTTTAGCACACAAATGAGAAAGAAGAGTCTGAACACGCTCAAGGTGAACTATTAGTGAAAAAAAAATTAAAGATGCATTTGGTGCTTATAAATATGGATTCTATTTTTCTCATATTGCATGATAGAATTATATCCTACAAAAAAAAATAATTATGTACTACGGGTATATAGTTATAATAGTAACATTATTTTTCTCTCTCCCCTACGTCAGCCGACAATGTCTGAGAAGAGAAAAAAAATAGCTTTAATATTATAACTATGTATTACTCGTAAACCATGGTACATAGTTATTTTATTTTATTTTTGCAGGAGAGATTTCCTTTTCTAGCAACATAAGACAATGATTTCCCTATAAATTTTTTTATTTATTATTTTAGTTCTTTTAAAAGTTTTAGTTTTGATTAGTGTATTTTATTTTTTTTAAGATTATTCGTATGACCTTTAAGTATTGATATGTCAAAAGGATATATATATATTTTTTTGGTAAACATGTCAAAAGGATTTTTAATTCACTGTTAAATAACACATCAGCATTTAACAAATTTATGAGTATGCAGACTGAAATTAGAAAGAAAAAAATAAAGAGATTTAAGAGACACAGATCAAAACTAAATTTTTAAAAAGGAAAAACCAAATTTTATATATTTTTAAGAATAAAAAGGATAGTTCAGCAAAGAAAAAATATTGGATTCGTGGCTTGAAAAAAAAAATACTAACTAAGAGATATACAATTAAAAAAAATCAATTATATTTTCTAGGGTTGGCAAAACGGGCCAACCCGGCTCAATCCGACCAACCCGCGTTCAACTCGAAAAAAACGAGTCAGGTTAGGGTTGGCTCGAAAAATAAACAAGCCGGAAAACTCAATTCGACCCGAATCGGGTTAGGGTTGGCTCGAAAAAATGAAAAAATAAAATAAAATTTCATTGATGCTATAACTTCTAAATTTTTTTCCTAAATTACTAATTCATTCAATACAAAGACATTATACAGATAAACCATAGAAAATTCCTTTTGCATTTGGACTTGTTGGCACCACATTCACACTGTCACACATACTATAAAAAGGTCCTTAATGCACGATTTTGGACTTATTGGCTACTGCAGGGTATTTTCGTTTGGGTCTTTGGAATTAAGATTTTAGGTTGTAGCTTTCCACTTTACCTTCATTAATTTTTATACTTTTATATTAAAAAAAAACATAACCCGCGAGCCAACCCGTTTGACTCGTGGGTTAGCTCGATTTTTTTCGAGCTGAAACAAGTCGGGCTGACTTGAGTTACTAACTTATTTTCTCTGACCCAACCCGACTCATTTTAGCCGAGTTACGAGCCTAATATTTTCTCAAATAATTGAGACTCAAATAAATAACTTAATTATTGGGTTGACCAGAATTCTGTTTTGATAAGTGTTAATAATTTCTTATTTTGTTAAAAAGTATAAAATTAAATTTTGAATGTGATCATTATCAAGATATGAGATAGGTTTATTTTTCTAATAAGAAACTAAAATATTATCAGTTATAAATACTCATTGTTTCAAAATAACTGTTATTTAATTTTTCACATAAAGAGAAAAAAAAGTCATTAAATAATTTAAAATAAATTCCTTATTGGTTTTTAAAATTGAAAAAAAATTTAAAATAAATCAAAATATTTAAATTGACAATTTTTTTTGGTGAACTTACAATTCTTTTTTTAATAGAGAAAGTAGTGGTTTGAGAAAAAAAAGAAATTGTCGAATAAGTAGGAGTTTATGGAATTGAGAGGATGGATAAACATGTATGGATCATGGTAAAGAAATTGTGGCATAGAATAAATTGAAAATCATCATTCCTATTTAATCATCACATTTAATCATCCTTATTGTAATGTAATATTATTTTGATAATAAATTTTGATTATTCTCATCCATGAATATTAGCCAAAACAGGTTAAACTGTATGCATGATTTGAGTTATATTTTTATCTAATTATTGATATTTATGTAAAAAGCCAAAATAATATTTTCCCAATAAGTGTAATTTTACCACATATAGTCATTTATAATTATAAATAACCCATCTAACCTCTAAAAAAGTGGATGATCAAATAGAAGACCAGATACATCTACATCAATGTATAAGGAGAAATTTATCTTTAAAATTAATATACCAATTAGAAAACATTAAAATAATAAAATATTAATACATTATTGGCATTTGGCACCCAGTCAAGGTAGTATTTTTTATTTTATTTTAAATTTCCATCAGTTCAACGATTGTATAACTAAATGATTGAATTGTTTTCAAAATAATTATTCAAATTAATGCGATAAATCTCACACGTTAGTCATGCGACAAGTTTTGAACGTCAACTATACAAGATTTATTGTCAGTGTGAAAATTCCACAAGATAAAAATATAGGACTCTTTAAGTTCCGCATTACAAAAATACATGATTAGTTACATATAGATCTCGTGCGAGACTTAGATAGAATAGTAAAAAGAGGAAATGTGGTGTTTGTGTGATTATCGACTAATATATACATAAATCTCAACATAAGAGCAATACGAGATTAGTCTCATGTGTTTGTAATGTGTGACTAGAAGACTCTCACATTACAAATGTATGAAACTTCTATGCTGACTTCAAATCTCACATTGTTGGCGCGTGAGACCTGTACCTTATGATCAACATACAAAATTCATTACATTAATATGAATAATTATTTCAAAATAAATTAAATACACATTTAATTTATTTTTAAAGAACGTAGTATGATGTCTACCAAAAAAAGAACGTAGTATGCTTTAAAAAAAAAAAAAAAAAACTGTTTGCTAAGGTGTTTTTTTTTTTTTAAACTTTATTTATCCTGAATCTAAATTGAAAGATTGGGCTTTATGCACTTTTGTGTGAGATTCACGTCATATTTTTTCTTTCCCTTTTTCCTGCCTTTTCAATTTTCTCTATACAAAATTTCATTTCTTCTATAAAATCAAACGATATTAAAAAAATTCCTGCTTTAAGAAAAACATCCTTGAATATAAATATAAAACTCATAATACTACTAATCACTGAAAATTGTGAATAAAAAAAGGAAAATAGTTTTCTTATGTTGTAGGAAAAAATTTCTCTCATATAGTAGAAACAAAATTATAAGTGGGACCCACAGGTAAGAGGAGAGAGAAAAAATAGAGGTGGAACCCACCTCTCTTTTGTGTGTGTAGGAAATTGGCTTCTCTTATGTAACATGGAATAAATATAACCCATAAAAAAAATGCTCTACTCTTTTTGCAAAAGACAAAAGTTAGACCCAACTCGTCCAATTAATTTTTGAGGGAGGATATTTTGACTACCAAAATTTTCTACTACATATCTAATCAACATTGGATCAAAGAGAGAATGTTAAAAAGTTTTTGAAGAGAGAGAAAATGCTAATTCAATGGTGATTAAATAGGTAGTAAGTTGGTAGTGGAAAATTTTGGCAGTGAGAATATCCTTCCTCTTAATTTTTTGAAAAAAATTAAATAAAAAATTTCTTATTTAAGCATGGACTTAGACTAATCAGCAATGAACTTGGTCATGAATCCATGATATGATGTAACGTTTCAAAACCAAAATAAAAACAGAACTTCAAATAATTAATTAATTAATTAATTAATTAATTAATTTGTTAAAATCTGTAATCAAACACGAAAAATAGCCGTTACAACAAAGAGCGCCTCTCTCTCACTTTCTCTCTCTGCAAAACAAAAAGTTCCTATTTTTCCCTTCATTTTGTTTCACCAAACCAATCACACACACACAAATCTCTCTCCGATTCTCAGAACCCATTTACTCAAAAGCGAGATTGGAGCGTTTTTTCAATGGAAATTAGTGGTCAAGCAATGACTCCTGAGAAAGCCTCACAATCACAATCAAATGCTGAGAATTTGAATCCCAATGTTCCAACGTCTTCAATGAAATCTTCAAAGGAACCAGTTGTTGTTGTTGTCCATTCTCCTCAGAACAGGATCCGTCAGAGAAAGTTCATTGTAGCAAAGAAGAAGAAAACCGATGCGGGCACAGCGGTTTCGTGCAAATGCAAATACAAAGGCACTGCAAAGTGTCTTTGTGTTGCATATCAGAATCTGAGGGCTTCTCAGGAAGAGTTTTTCTCCAAGAATAGTGATAACAAAGAGAAGGGTTATGATGAAGAAGATGAAGAACAAAAAGCTGAGAGTTTGCTTGATGAGGTGATAGAAGCAAGGTTGATGATTCAGGACCTTGATAATGAGGGAAGGAAAATAGTGGATGAAGAAAGAGAAGAAGAAGAAGATGAAGATAATGGTGATGCAGTTGAGGGTAGTTCCATGGTGAAACGTAGGAGGGATAGGTTGTTGGAAGAGGCTAGGAATAGTGTTCCTGAAAGTGGGTCTGGGAGAGTGATGCATTTGGTTAAGGCCTTTGAGAAGCTTCTCTCTTTACACAAAACTAGTTACAAGGAGAAGGATGAAAAGGAGGAGGAGGAGGAGGAAGATGAGAAGCAACATCATCATCATCATCATGATGGAGAGAATAGTAAGAATAAGGTGATGAAATGGGCATTGCCAGGATTGCAATTGCAACAACCTCCTAAGGCTTCTGAAACTGAGGTTTCTGCTTCTGGTTCTTCTTTGTTTTGCTGCACTTCAGAGTTGGTTTTGACATCCGAGAACCTTGGCTTGGATAAAAGGGTTTCAGTTTCTTCTTCTTGGGATAGTAGTCGTGGAAGGTTTGACTTTGACTCCTTAAGCTTGTTTGATGATTCTATTTGATTAACATCTTGAATAACAGGATATGGTTCTATTAGATAGAGGAAAAACATAGTTGTTATCATATAAGGATTAGTTATAGGATACATTAGTTATATTCTGGAAAAAAAAAATTTGTTTTTCTCTATGCAATAGGACCATATTGTGATGTTCAAGAACAGCAAAGCATCCAAATCCTTAGTATCTCTACTCATTTTTATTGAATTGTTTTCACCTATTAGAGAGTGAAAAACATAATTCTTATCATGTAAGGAGTAGTTATACGGTACATTAGTTATATTTTTAAAAAAATTATGTTTTTCTCTATGCAACAGAACAATATCATGATATTCAAGAATAAGAAAGCATCCAAATCCTTAGTATCTCCATTCATTTTTCTTGAATTGTGTGTCATTCATTGTTGCGGTGATGTTTATCGATTTTTATCTTTCTTCATGCTGCAGTGTGTCTAGCAGGACTTCTGGGGGTCGAAGAAGCAGGAGAAATGTAAGAGTTTTAGATACTGTTGTTATATTTAAGTACTAATGAAGAACGATTAATGATTCATTAATGAGATTTTGAATTCTAATGAATGGATTTCAGAGCTTGGAATCATCTGGGACTTTAGGAGGAAAGAGGTGGAAGAAGAAGCAGCAGCTAAAAGTCACTAGCCAAAAACCATTCAAGCTAAGAACAGAGGTGATTTATGACAAATAAATGATATTTATTTTTTTATAAAGGTTCCTTTTTGTAGTTATTTTCCAATGATGTTGGAGTTTGGAGAGTAAAATTGGTAATGCAATGGAAATTGTACTGTAGCAAAGGGGAAAGTTGAAAGAAGAAGAATTTACAAAGAAGGTGCAAGAGATGATGACAGAAGAAGAGAAGCTGAGAATACCTATTGCACAAGGTCTTCCATGGACAACAGATGAACCTGAGGTAAGGTCATTTTCTTATGCAAGTCCTTGATTTGAGGTCTCCATATGACTGTGGTGAAATCTAAAGCATAATTCACAAACAAATTTAAATATGGTCTCAAGTTTGCACTTGCTAAATTGTAATGGTTTACTTGGCATAATAGCAATTTTTTTGTGCTACTTTTACAGTGCTTGCTAAAACCTCCTGTGAAAGAAAGCACAAAGCCTATTGACCTTAAGCTTCATAGTGATGTGAGGGCAATTGATCGCGCTGAATTTGACCATCAGGTGACTCTTTCATCTATTTCTTCCTTTCTTCTTTTCCTTAGTTTTTCACATTATACAAGTTAATGTATAATGTTAATCAAACCTTTATCTTCAATTACTTTTGGATTTAAAAGAAAAGTAGTGTAACATAAGTTTATCCCCATTCATCCTTATTATTCCTTGTGCACGAAAGAAAACTTAAATTTGGCTACATATCGACCACTAATGTGTTTGCTTGCCTTAGTTAGTGTGAATTTTGAACTACTTGCCCCCTCTAAAAAAAAAATTCTAACTCTGCCATTGCTTATGATTTTAACTGCTGAATTCAATTGAGCTACAGCTATCTTTCATTTTAGGAAAAAAATACAAAATTGATGAGTGTTTGATAATGTAGGTGGCAGAAAAAATGAGCTTGATAGAACAACAAAAGTTTGAAATGGAAAGACAAAATAAGGTACACTCACTATCTATCTATCTCTAATTACTGAGTTTATCTAAAATGCTGATGTTTTTGTACATTACTCCCATATAGTTGGCAGAAGAGGAAGAGATCAGAAGATTGAGGAAGGCACTCATCCCAAAAGCACAACCCATGCCTTATTTTGATAGACCTTTTGTCCCAAGGAGGTAATGGTTGTTGATCTAGTCTCATGATTAATAATCATAGAACATGTTATAAATTATAATCTTCTTTTTACAATTTTTGTACAAATTATTTTAGTCTTTTCCTTTGTTCTCTTTAGAATTACTGTCTCATTAATTTTTATTTTTATTTTTATACTTTTGTGTATACAAGGTCAATGAAGCATCCAACAATACCTAGAGAACCCAAGTTTCACATACCCCACCATAAGAAGATCAAGTGCTGCTTGTCATGGAATGACATGAGCCCCTACTCCTCCTACCTCAACTAAGCTTCCAAAGGTCACTGGTTGATGTGAAGTTCATTTCTCCCATTCTCTGAGCACTGTTCAATTTTGTATATGGGCAACCGATATATAGTTGCAAATTCTTTTTTGTCTTTGGTCAATTATAGTGCACTTATAGGACATAAGGTATCTTCTTTTCGAAATGAAATGAATTTACTATTTTTTGTTTCGGGTTGTAATTCATCATTACTTCAATTATAGAACAAGTGAGTTCAAAAGCCCCTGGTAGTATATTATATCATTAAAAAAATGAAAACTTATGATAGTGTAAAATGCTATTATAAAAAAGTGCAGGTATTTGTGTTCCAAAAACAATTCAAATTAATGATATTAAGCCTGTTAGTATTGTTTTGTAGTTTTTTTTTTTTTTTTTTTGAGAAAAACGTTTGTACTTTTAAAGGATATAACTTTGTGACATTTTAGATCCTAACCGTTGATTTCCATCAATCAACGATTATAATTTATTGGGTTTTACTGCGAATTAATAATTAATTAATAAGTTTAACCTAATAAATTATACCGTTGATTGATGGAAATCAACGATTAGAATATAAAATGACACAAAGTTATATCCTTTAATAATATTTTTCCCCTTTTTTTTTTTTACCACAAAACTATTGAATATACCAATAAGATTGGTAATGACCAGTTTTTAGATCGAGCTATCAAGTTGGAAATTTAAACATTTACCATAAAGAAAAAGAGGACAAAAAGGAGTATATTGTCCTTAATGATATCATTTAAGAAACAAGGTCACTTTAGAAGAATTTTATTGAAAAAAAAAAGTTGCTGAAAGTATGACAAAGGCTTAAACTGAATTTCGAACATGGTTCATCTTATTATGGTGCCATATCCCATTATTACTTTTCTTTCTGTGCAGCGTTTATATGTAGTTTTATTTTATTTTTGAATTTATCTTTTCTCAATGTTTAATTAATAATATTGTTATTTGATGACAATAAAGAATAATAATCGAAAAAAAATGTATTCATAACATTATTTCTTCTTATTATTCTTTAAGATTAATTTCTAAGTTAATGAAAGGATTATATTATTATTATTATTTGACAGGAGTATCTCATAGTAATACATAGTTATGAAATTAATCCATGGGATCGGAGGTGAAGGTTAAGTAATGTCTTCTCCAAGAGAAACAACTCCAGGATTCATTCAAGTGACAGTTGCAAGTACAGTTTTAAATAAATAGATAAAATTTGCTAATGTTAGTTCAAATGATAAGAATTTTGTTCCCTTAAATAAAAGGTATAGAATTTTAATCTGGAGAATGGAGAAAATGATATTGGGATAGCTATATCAATACAAATCGAATAATGCTCAAAGTGGATAAATTGAACTTCTATATTTACGAAAGCAAAAATCAACTAGGTGAGTCAAATACCAATTCATAAATGTGTTTATAAACCTAAAAATAAAAAATAGAAAGTACTGAGACAAATGTTCTTCTTTAGACTTTTCTCTGCCAAATAACAAAATGTGTGATAAGTAATTTATCTGGTTGTCTCATTCTGCCCACTATTAGATCCTTGTTGGTAACGTAATGTCAAGTCCAAAGTTTAACCTTTCTACCTTCCTTCATCTCCTATTAGCACCTCTAACCAAATGAAATTCACCGTGTAAATTGCCTTGTGCTTTCTATTTCTTTTAGCATTTTTGTTCAACTAGACACCCCCTTCAAAATGGGTGGCCAAGTGGAGAATCAAGATTAACACACTTGTCTTAGAAAAACTCAAGCGATGCAAATTCACCTATGACCCTCTTTGTGGAGTGTACTCACATGCTGTTCTTGTTGATAGCATTAATTTCTACTATTGCTTTTCTCTAGTTGTTTTCTAGAAGGGCAGTGCAATAGAGAAATTGAGAGCAGAAAAAACAAAATCATTGTTGCGAGTAATGTGGAGAAATAATGTATTGAGAATTCAAATCAAAACCTTACTGAACAAAACTCCAAACTAGATTAAAGGATAAACTTAAACAAAAAAATACAAATACAAATTGTAATAAGCTCAGCAAACTGGGCTGTTCAATAAGACATGCAATGCATAATCAGTTCTCAACAACATGTAAATCAAGAAGCAACCACAATTCTCCCAGCAACTTGGTCAAGATCCCTTCGACCACTAGAAGTGATTCTCCTACCTCTGCAATACAAAAAGCATAAACAAGTTGAATGCTATAGATAACAAGCAACAATGTGGTGAACAAATGCTGAAAGAACCAAAGGAATGAAAACAATTTCTAGGTGTCTCAATCTTCATCTCAAAGCAAGTACTTCTGTCTAGAAATCAAATGAAATACAAGTATGACCTCATCTTAAAGTAGAAACACTTAGCAATTGTTCCATTAGCATTTTTGGCATTTAAGAGCAAAACAAGACATACCCTTTTGTATCCATCTCAATAATGTTCATGCTTTGCAACTGTTGCAGTATGTGTCGGGCAATAGCACCACTGCTCTTGCAGAAATGTGGTGGACGGCTTCCATTTCTCTTGCTTCCACCATAGATCCTCCTAAAAGCACCAACACCAAGACCACCTCTCAAATAGATCTTTCTTGCCATGGAGGCTGTAACCAAGGTTGAACTCCATTAGTCTAACAGTAAATATTACAACAATATTTACCAACAAAATGAATGAAGTGTGAGTGCATGCATTCCTGCTAGCATATGACAAACTTACAATTAGTTAAGAGTAAACTCACCAGATCGAATATAATACCAGTCAGGATCATACGGAGCCAATTCCTTAAATTTTGCAGTTTTTACAATATCTGTCCACTCAGGAAGCTCCATCTGTTGAGCAACCATATAGGAATCAACAATCACAAGGGAAACAATAACATTTAGGTGGAAATGTCAATAAATTAGCATGCAGTAGTAACTTCATTTTAAGTTAACGCATAAATAGGACAGTAATATACATTCGTAGAAGCACCACAGCAAGCAGCATTACAATTGAAAAATATAAATCAACAAGTAAAAGAAACATTAGCAGCTATCCATTTCGGAATCTGGAGTGGAAGATCAAAGCCATTGAAAGCCTTCCATATGCCACTAAACACCAACAAGTTTTCACTCTTACTCGATCCAGATATGACATAAAAACAAATTCCCCACAAAAGAACTCATATTAATTAATATTAATTACATCTCAGCAAGTGTTCGCCATCTAATTAACCATATTAAGAATATTCATCAGAATCTGACAACATCATTAGCACAATAAGTGAAATCAAAGGCTCATAACTCACAAGCTAACAACAATTGATTCACTCAACGAAATTCCAGGGACCAAAATATATTTTTTACACATCATAAATATAAGCCCAACAAATATAAATTATTATTATTTTGAAAACATATAACACAAACACACAACAAGAATATAGAGCAACAAAAACTACAAAACCCAGATGAACCTGAACACTGGCAAATGAAGAAACAGATGAAATTAGATAGACCCAGAAAGGAATCTGGGAAGGTGAGTCGAATGGGGAAAGGAAAAACGATGAGAATGACAAAAAGATTGAACCTTTCCAGAACGCTTGAGGTGAGAGGAATAAGCCTTCACGAATTCGTGAGGCGAAACATCCTTCACGGTCCTCGCTGTAGCCATGGTCTGAAGCACAAACACACTCTCACAAAGTGCTGATCTCGAATCTCAATTTCTCTCCAACGTAAAGAGAATTGACCCTTTTGTTCCGAGTTCATATAAGTAAATCTCAAATTAGGGTTTTTGCATCCTATTCGGGTTATGCCCGACCCGGTTCTATTGGGCTTCCCTTCCACTGTTCTTTGTCATGTTGGTAAAGTCCATTATTTGGCTCAGCTCTCATTTCATTTTTATTTTTAAGAAAATAATACTCTCATGCCACATGAGATTCTCTCATTTTCTTACACAAATTCGTTTTTTGTGTCAAATAATTTTTCTTTTCTTTTTTAATATAAAATATGGGATCCACATTTAACTTCTCTCTACTTTTTTTCTCTCCTACAATCCTACAACATAAGAAAAGCTAAACCCTTACTTTTTATGTTGTTTTTCTGAAGCCATAATCTGTGTTTTTATTTTTAAAATAAGAACACATATTTTTAACTTTTTATAAAAATTTTAGTAGTTAAATTCTGAAATATTGTTCATGATTTTGTCAGAAATGACCTGCCAACGCTTCCTTCCCAAATAACATATATGAATTTATTAGGTTGCTTTTTATTTATTAGTAGCATTTCTTTTATCAATTAGTAATTAATATACAATATACAAAACTTATAGTGTAAAAATATGCACCGCTAAATAATTAATTAAATAACATTATCGGTGTCAGAGCATGAATTTAATAAAGATTATGCATAATTATGGTAAGATAATTATTTAGAAAGTGCAAATATTGATTTTGTTTCGGGGTATAAATGCATACCGGTGAAGTGTCCCGAAAAATTAATATAAAAATATGATAATTCCTAGAAAAATTGATTAGGTTAAGAATATAAAGTTTGAAAAAAAAATTATTAGTAGAGCTATTAGAACTAATACTATTAATGAGTGAGTATATTTATACAAATAGATAAGTGGGGCACAAAACCCTAAGTTTTGCACACTCACGTTGATACTCTCCTTCATGCAGCCATATGCTTCCCACCTAAACACCATAGTCTTTTCTTCAAGAAAATCTCCAAGCTACCATTTTTCTTCTTTCCCTCTTCACTAAAACACCATTGATGCTTGTGGGCAAGATATGTGGGGAAGAAAAATACCTTCTTCAAGTGTTATAGCTACAATGTTGGGGAGTTGTGGGGCTATCTTTTGGTTTAGGTGTGATAGAGTCTTCTAAACTACCATTAGAGCTCCAATGAGTGAATTTTGTGAAGAAAGGATTAAGCTTGGGAGCTCAAACTCGTGCCTCTCTTTGGACTGTACCTTGGAGTGGATTGTTCAACCCTTAAGACCCTCCATTTTCTGTTTCTAAGGCCTTGGGTACATCCTTCATCTTTTGTTCTTGAGTTTTCATAGAAAAGAATAATCTTGATGCATGTAAAAAGAGAAAGCTAAGTAACCTCAATGTAAACTAGTAAGAACACACTTAAAGATGCATGTTTGGACCCCTGTTTATGTTAAAAATCAAAGCTTGGATGGATATCTTTGCGAAAATGCAAAACTGCATACTGTCGCGAAATATCCGGATATGAATATCTGAATATGTGATATCCGGATATTGGCCCAAGGATATCCCAATATTGAATATCCGGATATGTCCCCGAGGAATATCTGGATATCCTGGAAAGTTTGTGTTTTGTGTTGTTTGGTCCAAATAGAACCGTGTATGATGAATTAGGATTCTTTTATGGTTAATGTGAGCCTCTGTAATAATGTAACTAAATCAAAACCCAAGTGGGTGAATGCTTATGCCTTTGAGAAAGGCCTGCAGGCATGAAACGAAAAAGAAAACATAGTCCATTTAACTTGAGATTTTAGGACATAATTATTGATGATATTTCTGATATAAAACAGATTGCAACTGTCAGATTGTGTCACTGTTGGTGTGTCTAGTTGTACCGAGCCTTTGGATAAGGACTTTGGCATTATAGGTAAGCTTTTGTGTCCTCGATTTTGCCCATTGATGGTTCCACCATACCTCATAGAGGGATGGCTTATATGCATTTTTTTTTTTTGTAAATGTGTTTATTACTTGAAGAATATTTGATATGTTGTTGAGCTGTTTTGTGAGTGCACATGTCGTTAGGGTTGGCAAAACGGACCAACCCGACCCGACCCAACCCGCATTCAACCCGAAAAAAATGAGCCGGGTTAGGGTTGGCTCGAAAAAAAAAAAACAAGTCAGAAAACTCAACCCAACCCGACCCGAGTCGGGTTAGGGTTGGCTCGCGGGTTGGATCAAAAATATGGCTCGTGGGTTGGCTTGAAAAAATAGCTCGCGTGTTGGCTCGAAAATTGGCTCGCGGGTTGGCTCGATATTGCTCGTGGGTTGGCTCATTTTCAGCCTATTTAAATGACCATGTAGTATTAATGCACCAGCTATGTGGCTTCCATTAGCTTAAACAAAAGGTTACAAAATGAGAAATAAAAGCAAAATATTTTAATTTTGAATTTTCTTCACAACAAATTTGCATCAATATCAAGAAACAATCAGAACCACTTGCTACCAAGTGAGTAAGATATTTGAACCAAACAGAGCTAGCACAGCCTAACAATATAAAAATGGCAGGATGTGACAAGATTAGGGACTTAGGTTTATAGAAGGAAGAAAAAAAATGATGACAACATGTGTGGGTTTTGTTCATTTTTGTATATTATATTTTGTATTTTTTTATAAAAAAAAAAACTCAACCCGCGAGCTGGCTCGTTTGACCCGCGGGTTGACTCGTTTTTTCACGAGTTAAAACGAGCCGAGTTGGCTCGGGTTGGCAGCTCGTTTTGGCCAACCCAACCCGGCTCATTTTTTACGGGTTACGAGCCAACCCGATGGGTTGGCTCATTTTTGCCAACCCTACATGCCATATGTTATGTATGTGGGGTGTTCCACCCTAGACGGTAATCCCTGAGTATGTGGGCAACATACAAGAAGGTAACTCCGTGGGTGAGGTACAAGAGAAGAGCCTTGTACTGTGGGTTATAGACGTGTGTAATCCCTATCTTTTATTCTTTGGCCAGTAGGATGCATACACACATGACATAAACATATGTTGCATTGCACAGATATTTGATACTATACTGTTGTTATCATTTTTGAACTTATATTGCACATGTAAGTGAGCTTGGGTTAGAGAGCTCCTTGAGGACCCCTTGCCTTACTGAGATTTCTGTTAGAGATTTTACCCGGTGTGGAGCACATTTTCAGGGACATGTACTTTTGAGGCTGAGACCTCTAGTGGCAGGAGTTCGGAGTTGAGTTGAGATAATGCATGCACCTTGTCATTTTATTATGATTTTTGTCTTGCTGTTATATCTTTATGGCTATTGTACTTGAGACATCATTTGACTATGTTGCCTTATTTGGTGAGCATGAGGTTGTCCATGTCACATTTGAATAAGTTGTGTTTATTTTATACTGGAGTTGTATTATTATATCAGGATTTGTTTGGTCTACGTGTTGTAGTTCCATGACTTGATACCTTATTTATGTTAATGAAGTTATTCAATTTAGTTATTTATTGCAATTTACATACAGACGGTGTTTGGAAAAGAATCATTAGATTCACTGAGTTATCATAATAAGATTCATAATTTGAAATTTTAGCTTCCGCATTTATTGAGTTGTGCTTATTACCATTTATATGTTTAATATATCGGATGCACACGGGGTGTTACATATAGCAAAAGTAAAATAATTTACTCAAAATATTAAAAATATACGAAATTCTCATCAAAATAGGATTCAACATCTACTTTCTTCCTCTTTATGTATTTTATCAATCTATCAAGTGGGTTTTTACCTTATATTACTTACTATTTTTAATGTTTTAAAAATGAAAGATATTATAAATAACTGGTTATAGGTGTAGTACCTTACTTATGTTATAATGATATTTTCCTATAGATTTGTATAGTACAACTCACAGATACCAAATTCGAAGGTCGAGCAGAGATATCTAGCAGAAAAGTTACTAATTATATCTACAGAGTAAAGTTAGAGATAACTAGAAAGGAAAAATATAGTATCTTCACCCAATAGTCTGATAGGATTATAATCAAGGGTGTGAGTCATCTACAAAGTGGATGTGCTCTAGCACTAATAATGGTGGTAAACCTGTAGAATGCTAAAGAGATTATCCCCTCATTCATTATAGGAGGTCACGTATCGATGAAGTGTAGTAGCTGTTAGGAAGTGTTAAGGAGAGGTGTATATAGTGAGTGATTTTGCAGGTAACTACTGATGTGATAGTATATTTAGTGGGTAGTTATGTATAATAGAGGTGAATGAAAGATAGTGAAGGAATTAAAATACTTATTGCATGTCATGTAGTGAAAAGAGAAAGTTGAGACCATTAACTGGTGTAGACCACATACAAATTCACAAATTATTCAACATATTCACATATTCAACATATCTTTTTTATCATTTTAAGTAAGGCTCATGTATCATTTTTGTATAATTACAACTTGTTGATATTTTGCTCATGTTGATATTTACATGATTAGAATTCAAGTTTAACAACGTACACATGTTGCTCTAATTGGTAGAGACTCAAATTCCTTAAATATATTATTCAATATTAGACTACACAATTTATGCGTACGAAAAAAGAAATGTTGGAAAGAATTCTCAACTCTTAACTATATCTTGAGAAACATTAAATAGTGGTAGGTCGGTTCATAGTAAGGAAATTGAGTAAGTGAAAAGGAATGAACCCCGATTCGATCCCCACATCTCATTTTGGAAAGGATTTAAATATTTTCATTTCTGATCTGTTCTGCATTCCGGATTAGTCTCAAGCCAGTTCAAAAAAATTAAAGTTTGTGAAGATACCGAAAAGAGGCAACTCGCCTCAATGAAGTAATTAAGACGGAGTTAATTGAAAAGTAAAAACTATATCACGAGAAACAAGTCTTCCACGTATTAAACGAGAGGTTGAAAACTTAAAAATAACTCAAATTTTTGAACCCTGTGACAAAGTAAAAAAGTGATTTAAAGTTTTAATTGTTATAAATAATTTATTAATTGTCCATATCCGTTATATAACCGTTATGACTGTTGATGTTATGGCCGTTGGAGACGTTATGGTTGTTGGAGATATTATGACCGTTGGAGAATAATTTTGGTTATTGTAACTTTCATGTTTTCTGAGCCTATAACTAAGGCATCTTTATAGTACAACAATACAATAAGAATACATTCCTCTATCTCTATTATCTCTTCTCTTCTAGTTCTTATTAATTTTACAACACGTTATCAGCACGAGACTCTACCCGAAAAGAGAATTGCAATCCCAAAAGCATGAAATATATACTATGAGATCCATTCTCTTATGGATTGAAGATATGATAATTTTGTGTTATAGGATAAGACAGGTGCAACTCACGAGGTATTTTATGGTACCCTACCTGAGGTAAATTTCAAATGTTTGTTGGTTGCTAATTTTATGATTAATGTTTGACATTCATTAAATTTATGATTAATGTTGTTACAGGAACCCTTTTTTTGTTTCCTGCTATCAGGTTGGACCTTTTATCCACTGATGGTTTTTTATTGTATGTTTGAATTAACTGTTAAAATCTTTTCTCTTGGGATGTTTAAATGTGTTAATTCTTATCGTGTATGTCTGTGTCTACTCATATTTTAGTCTTCAAATCAGACTTGACTCAGTTCATTTGTTATCTAAATTTTCTGTATATGCTCCCTTGTTTGCATTGTTTGTATCCCCAATTTTTTTGCTGAAGATTATTATTGAGTATAATAATTCTGCTATGTTACTGGTAATGGTATTTGTGTTGCTCTATGATGGCACTGAGATTCATAGGAAGACAAACAGAGATGAAGATTGAGCCATAACACACCACATACAACAAGTCTGCAACATGGCCCAATGTGTTTTTTTTTAATGGTAACTTGGAATTCATTTGTCCTCCTTAATCCACCGAATTTGATTCTTCAATGAAGCATTAATGAAAACAATTATTATTATTGAATTTTTGGCCAACGATGAAAGTTTCTGACCTTGAGCAATTTATGTTTTTAATGCATTTAAATGAAATGTTATAAGTTTAACAGTTAATTGAATAATCGTTACAATTGTTTTATGTATGGTTAAATGTTATTCAATAATTTAATGCATGATTTGTGGGTTGATATGATTATGCATATATGTTAAATGAGACAACTCATTACCGTTGTGGTTTTATGATTTTTATAATTAAATGCAATTTAATCAGTTATGCAATTCATTAAATTATCTCTGATCTGAATCATTATGAATAATCATTCAATATATAATTATTATAGTTTTCTTTATATCCGAATGAGTGATAATACTTATAATTTTAGACCCGTTGTTCAAAAGCATTGCCCGAAGCAAATGTCAAATATATGAAAGACTCTAGCTATTTTGATGGCTATGAGCACATTAATGATATAATCCCTAAAGGGATGATAGAAAATAATCTAATATTGGGTCAAATCACGAGAGAAGCCAAACGAAAGTGGCTAATGAAATATAGCAAATTAAAAAAGGGGCAAGTGTTATGAATCTCATGCCTTTGAGATTAATCTCACTGTTGAGGCTAACAATATCTTTATTCGTTATTGCTCCTGAAGTAGCAAAATCTGAATTATTTTATCAATTACCTATATACAAAATGATTTTAATGCCTCCATATGTGATGCATGTAATCACACATATTGATATACTATTATTACTACAAATATTGCAGGTAAGAAATGTGTATAAAAAGAAAAAATTACATGTCTTGCTTCCAATATATATTAGCATGATTGAAAAACATGTCTTGGTAAATCAAAAAGATATTGATTATAATAACTATATTATTTGGCATGACCAGATGGACCATCTCGGATCAAATATGGTGCGAAACATTATTTAAAAATTATTATGATCATGCATTGAAGAACCAGAAGATTCTTCTTGTACGGCTAGTTCTCAAGAGAAATTATCACCAACTAAAGTTGAGATTCAATATCTTGCATTTTTAAAATGCATATAGGGTGAAATATATGGGCTCATTCACCTATCAAGTGGACCTTTCAAATAATATGAATTTAATAGATGCATCTACAAAATGGCCACATGTTTGTCTATCTTGACATTTGTGAGATTGTTTGCTCAAATGATAATATTAAGAGTACAATAAAGATAATTCGTCTTCATAATGCTGGTGAATTTAATATTAGCGAAATTATTTATTAAATGTCTCCAATTGATTACTAGAACATTGCCTATGAGAACAAAACTTCCTATTTTTGCATGGGAATATGCTATATTTTATGTTGCAGTACTTGTACGCATCATGCCAATAAGTTATCATCTCCCCATTACATTGGCTTATGGTCAGGAGCCAAATAATATTTTTGATGTGCGATTTATATTCTAATTACTCCACCACAACACGTACGAATCCCAAATATAATTGAGAATATATGTTGGATATGAATTTCCTTATATAATATCCTGAAATAATGACTGGAGATTTAGTGGATTATTATTATCAGTCTTTCCAACATGAGGGGGAGAGAATAAACAGTTGGAAAATTTATTATTATCTCATATAGATCCTAGCACAAAGTAAACATGAGAAAAGATATTATATATCGACTGCCAGATGATTTCACTAACCAATAAGTCTAATATTCCAACTGAAAATGCTCCAATTCATATTGTACATATTCATATTGTACATAGAAAAATGATCGATTCCAAGGATAAAAATCCTCATAAAGGGAGGAGGAGCAAATGATTAAGATGGTCATAATATGGAGACATAAAGACATAACTTTGATCAAATCTCAAGGGAGGTTCAGGTACCTGAAAATAATGAAAACAAAGAGATCTCTATTAGTTATGTCATTACAGAAAAACGTTGGAACCATAAAGATATAGTTGTCGACGATATTTTGCATAAAATGAAATGAAGAAACAAGACGAGGATCTTGAAGCTAAATTTGTTGATGATGATTGGCCAAAATATAAAGACACAATTCAAATTTAAAGTTTTTGATCATATAGTCCAAACATGAAGGTGTAATGCCAGTGGGGTACAAATGTGCAAAAATTATAATGAAGTTGTTGTAGCACAAGAATTTTGCAAAAGCCTAGCATCAATTATTTGAAAATATATTCTCTTGTGGTGGATGAAATCACCTTCAGATATTTTAATAATCTGACAGTGAAATATATATGAAAATCCTAAAAGGATCTAAAATACTTGAAGCATATAAAAATTCCCCGGAAATTAGTTAAATGAAGCTTCAAATATCATTAATGGATTAAGACAATAAAGGCATGTGTGGTATAATCACCTTAATAAAATATTTAATTCAATCGAGACAATCTTATTATCGTATAATAAAGGGTGAACATCCAAGGGAAATAATAAAATTATTAAAGTGGATGTCTGGCTTTTAAACCTCATATTTTCCCCTTTATTCTCATATTTTATCTTTATTTGTAAATTTGTTACCAGGAATTATTTCTTTCCGATATATAGATACTAGAATAATGCAGGATCCACACAAAGCTAGATTTCAAGCAGGATATTTATTCACAAGTGGAAGCACAACCATGGGATAATAGTAATTCATGAAGAAAGTCAAGAATGTGTTTGATCAAGGTCAATGACGCAACACATCCGAAAAGCATGCAGTTTTTAGTTAGAAAAAGAGGTTCCAACAATATTGCATGAAGATAATGCTGCTTGTATAGCTCAATTAAATGGAGGATATATTAAAGGAGACTGAACGAAGCATATGTCACCAAAATTCTTCTTCACTCATGATCTTCAACAAAATGGTGAAATTGATGTTCAACAAATCCGTTCAAGTGATAATTTGGCAGATTTATTTACCAAGGCATTACCTACTTCAAGTTTTGAGAAGCTCGTTTACAAGATCGGAATGCATAAACTCAGAGATATTAAATAATGTTATCATCTGGGGGAGTAAAATACGTGCTGCACTCTTTTTTCCTTCACCATGATTTTGTCCCATTGGGTTTTCCTGGTAAGGTTTTTAATGAGGGAGCTTCTAATACATATTTCTTCTCAATAGGATTATTGGACATCCAAGGGGAGTGTTATAAATAATTTATTGGTTGTCCATATCCATTATATAACCGTTATGACTGTTGGAGACGTTATGACTGTTGGAGATATTATGACCGTTGGAGAATAATTTCAGTTATCGTAACTTTTATGTTTCCCGAGCCTATAAATAAAGGGTTTTATAAAAGTTATGTTGTAGGAAAAATGATTGTGTAATGTTATAGAGATTCGTTTTGCGTGCCTTAATTTTTTTATTTTTTACTTGCTTCAAAAAGTGCGGACCCCACAAAATGTTGTAAATAAAACATCTTTGTAGTATGACAACACAAGAAAAGTACATTCTCCTATCTCTATTATCTCTTCTCTTATATTTCTTATTAATTTTACAACATTAATAATGAAGTATATTTATACAAAAACACACTTTCTAAGTCAATTTTGAAATATACCACTTTAGAAAATAAATAAATGAACGCCCTACTCTAAAGGCAAGACCTACTAAATCGGCCACAATAATAGTAAAGGTAGTGGCTGTTGATGGGTGCACATGGAGGTTGTTATGACCGTTGGATCATGAGGACAAAGACTTCCAATGTTGTTGCACTTGGATTGGAAACAAACATCTAACATGTGTCCGAGACAAATGCAAAAGCATATTTGACTAAGAGCCATGACATCATTGATTTATTGTCGTACCAAGTTAGTTAAAAACTGTGTGACACTGATGTTGTTGTTTGCATCGTAATTATCGAAGCTAAACGTGTAAAATCTAAAACACTGTCTTCCAAATCTTCCTTTGTATTCTCCATCCATTTTCATTGAACATTTTTTTTTTTTTAATCAATCATTGAACATTTTCACTTACCCTTTTTTGTGCCTTCTCAGATTCCTCACATACCCTCTTCGATTTTATCGCCCTCAAGCTTATATTTTTCACCTACCCAAATTGCCATTTTCCAACATTCCTTGCAAATCACTCACCACTTTTAGCAGAGAAGAAGGAAAGACAAGTTTTTGATTCGTGGGGTTGGTTCCATATGGCATCTTTCTCGGTCCCATGCCCCAAGTGCCCTTCTCCTGCAACTTTGGGATTGAAATCCCACAAGCTCTCGTTTCAAAGTGGGTTGAGCTTGAAGCATTCCCTTTCATTCGGATCTTTGTTTGCTGATTCAGCCTCATCTGGGATTCGAGTATGTAATTTTTTAGAATATGAATCTGGTCTTGTTGATTTGTGATTGATTGTTTATTTATTAGCTTATACGAATTATAATTAAATTAATGTTTTAATTATAGGATGAAGAAGCTGAGGGTCGCACAAGAATCCTCGTTTTTGCTTTTTTGTTTACTCATTCTTTCTTTTTTTTCTTTTTTCTTTTTTCTGGAAGATTAGATAGTGAAAGAGCAGAACTGGGATACAAGTTTAATGGCTGAATTTTAGAAATTTGGATGCCTTGTCGCTATTATTATTTGGTATATAAGTTATTTAGTTATTGTCTAACCTCAATTTAATTACTGTATTGCTTTCAACATAAATTGGCATTGAGCAAATTCCTCTGTAATTTCTGTGTTGAGGTTACTTTTGATAAAAATAAAAAAAATTCTTTTGTTCTTTGAATTTCTGTTTGTTGTGATCCTTTTTTTAAGCATCTAACGTTTTACAGACGAGACAGTATGTAATCCACATAAAGCATAGTATTTATTCTCCAGTTATTTCTGTAGTGTATTGATAAATTGATTTCTTTTAACAATGGGTTAAGATATTGTCACAACCAATTAGTGTTATTATTAATGTTACTACCAATCAATTTTACCGTTAGATCAATTATGTTGATCCAACGGTTATATTTATGTTCATCTTTGTATGGTTATGATTCCCCATATTTAATGTAAAAGCATTAAATATAGGAAACCATTACCATACAAAGGTGAAAATAAATATAAAGTATTAAATATGGAGAATCATAACCATACAAAGTTGGAAATAAATATAACCGTTATATCAATATAATCGATCTAACGGTGAAATTGATTGGTAGTAATATTGATAGTAACACTAATTGGTTGTTACAATATCCTTCCCAATAATGAAGAAAAAAAATACCTTTAGCAATTGATTTTCCCTAGGGTTTCTGAATGTTCGTTTAAGAATTAGAATTTTGAATCTAGAAATTTTTCTTTCAATAGTTATATTTATTTCTTAGCATAAAAGGCCATCTCAAATATGAAGTACAAACATAGAGAAGCGTAGCACTCTGTAAGATAAAATTCTCCTACAGGGGCATCAATGTTTTTGTCAAGAGTTAAGATAAAATTTGCAGTAACATGCAAGCATTTATATGATGAGGCCTTTGTAAATATGCACATTTATGATTTAGAATACCTACTATTTTTTTTATGATACTCATATCAATCCTTCCATTTATGATTTTCCCACATGGGGACTACAACTAAAGTTTTTAAGCATATTATCACTTGCAAAAGTTCATTATATTCATTGTAGTTGATGGATCTGTGAGGACAACTGCAACTACAAGGCATTCAAGTCACTGAACTTGTAGTCTTAGCTATTAGTTTCCAACGAGTTTATAATTGGAGAAATTATAATTTATCCATTATTCACTGAATAAATAATAAATGTGTATTTTATTAGGCTTTGCTATTTTTTTTTTCCTGATTATTTAATTGTTCAATTGTTATTTGTTATTTCCTGCAGTGCCTTAACAGGAAGCAATTTTCTGTTGGGAAGTTTCAAGCACAACTTAATGAGGTCAGTTTGCATTGAGTCTTTTTTTTTTTTTAATTGAGTTTTGTTTTGAACAAAATTTTCATCCTGCTGTTCATATATGTTCTTTATTAATTAAAATTTTATTATAAGTTACCCTGCTTTGTGCATCATAGGCTGCTACTGTAAAAAATTCTTCTAATTCTGCACCTGTACCGGTCAACGGACCTAATGTTGCTTCATCAAAAGAGAAACTCTCTGTGCCGGATGCAGATTCAATTTTTGTATTCATGGCTCAAGTTTCAGACCTTGTAAAGTAAGACTAAGCAGTTGCAGTCTGCATGCAATCACCTTTCCTTTTTTTAATTATTATATCTATGCTAGGAAATAAGAGGTCAAGTCACGAGCAATGATAAAACTGTTTCTTTGTGACTGAAAAGTCACGGGTTCAGATCTGAGAAACTGTCTCTTTGCAAATATTGCAAGGATAAGACCATGTATAAAGATTGCCTTCACTCCTACTTTCTCTAGTCAGGGTTTAATTGAGAGTGGTTTATGTTAGGACATGCATTGTTTCCATTGTTTTTATTTAACATCATTTCCATGGACAGACTTGTGGATTCTAGAGACATTGTGGAACTACAACTTAAGCAATCTGACTGTGAGCTCATGATAAGGAAAAAGGAAGCTTTGCAGCCTCCACCAGCCACAGTTATGGCCTCAGCATCACCACCGCTGCATTATCCCGCATTTCCTTCTCCACCACCACCGCCGCCACCACCAGCTGCAAGCTCTCCATCTTCAAAAGCAGCACCTGCCTTACCTCCTCCTGCGAAAACAAGCTCATCATCTCACCCACCTCTGAAATGTCCAATGGCAGGAACCTTTTATAGGAGTCCAGCACCTGGTGAAGCTCCATTTGTCAAGGTATGTAAACATACGAAGTTTAAATAGCACACTTCTTTTGAGTTTTCAATTTACTACTGGATATTTGATGCAATATATTTACTAAATAAATTAATGAATAGCCTAATTATTTTGCTGTTGCTTCAGGTGGGAGATAAAGTGCAGAAAGGCCAGGTTATTTGCATTATCGAGGCTATGAAACTGATGAATGAAATTGAGGTATGTGTATTTTTTTCCAGCTTCTTTTTTGTATTATTACATTTATCTTTCCCTATTTACTATCTTGTTTTCTTTCCCGTTTATTTTGGAGATTTGTCCCATTGTTATATGGATTATCCTCCCATATAGTAATTAATATACATAAATCCGTAAACAAGGCTCTCTGAGTGTAACAAATATAAAAGCACAGACTTGGTAAAGCTGTTCGAACGCTGTTTCTGTTTCTTTAATTCCATCTCTTTCAGCTGCATTAACTCTCTAATTACTTACTGATGTGCACCTAACTATGACTAAAGTTTACATTAGGAGGGGTAGAAAGGGATTAAGAGATAAGTACAGAGTAGAATGGGAAATAACTCACTTGGGGGTGAGCTGTACATGTAATTAAACTGTCAAAGTGCAGTTCGGTTCAGTTCACGGTTCGGTCCAGTTTTTTTGATTATTTTGCACATTCCTATACTGGTGTGTGTGGAGTTTGTGTTAGGAGATGAATAAAATGAAGGAGAGGCATTTAGAGTGAGTTATGTGGAATATTTTATAGAAGAGAGACTCAGGGAGGAAGCAAGACCCTTTAAGAGCCTGTTGGATTTTGTTTTGTCTACTGCTAGATAAACTTTACCCCACCCTCGCTAGTCGGGGCTTAAAGGGGAGTGGTTTATTGTTAGATAAACTCTCTCCTTCTCAACAAATTTCTATCAACATATAGGCAAAAATTGAAAAATCTAATTTCTTGGTTACCTTTCCTTGCTTGGTGGCAGGCTGATCAATCTGGAACAATAGCTGAGATTGTAGCTGAGGATGGGAAACCAGTCAGTGTAGACACGGTACACACTCTCTCTCTTTGCGTGCGCGCATGTGTGTGTGTTTGTGTATCTATCTGTCTGTCTATCTACAAACAACATGCTTCATTTCACTAACTAAAATACTTGTGCTCTATGCAGCCTCTTTTTGTAATAGCTCCATGAGTACCAGAAGGGACCTTACTTAGAAGTTGATGGGAATTTCCCTTGTTGGATGGCATGGTATTTTATACATATATTTATTGAGTGATAATGTTTGTCTCATTTTTGGGATATATTTTAGGCATAAAAACCCCAGCATGTCAGAATGAATATTGGATTTGTAGTTCTAACTTCTAAGCAGTTTTGATATTTGTAATATTAATGTTCTCTGCATCTGGTTTCTGAATGGTCCCTCTTTCTTGTAAGAACCTGCTGGCTGTTATGTTATTAATGTAATTTGTTATAGGGTCTTTTATGTGGCAAAACAAAAAGATGACTCAAAATTATCTTCATCCTTTCATGAATATCCTAAATTGAGCCAATTTTTTGTGTGGTGGCATCACAACTCGACTTAAAACTCATTGTCATCATTGTCTTTCGAACACTTCATGAAATGAAATTAATTAATTTCAGAAAAAATTATTTACAATTCGTTACAAGCGTGATTCATATTATATATATGGAAAAAATGTTTATCACACAACTTATATCCTTTCACTCTCACAAAGAGGTGGGACCCACACCTTTATTTTTTTTTGTCAACTCTCTTTCCTCTTTTATCTATCTCTTTCTCTCTCTCTCTTAAAATGACACAACTTTACATCATTTAAAATGACACTCAATTTACCCTATATATATTGGTATTTAGGTTTTTGTTGAACTAATCATAACTTTCCAATCACGCTGGTGAAATTGAATTTTCAGTCTCCACCTATTGTTGTTTATTGGGAAAAACGGTGATAAGGTTTTGGATACAATAACGTCAGAGATAACTAAACTTCATTACGTGTGTATAGAAGAAGTGATTGGAGGGAACAACATTAAACTGAAATAACAATATGAGACTAGTTCAAAATGTTCCTACCTTGAATGGGGTCAGATAGATAAATTGGTTCAAGTATAATTGAACTGTAATCACGAAACTTGTTCAAACTATTGTGTCATCCACAGTCACAGATCTATTTAGTAATTGCTGCTATTTGCGTCGTCTCCATGAATCTTCTAAAACTACCTGTTTATGACAACGTAAATGTCTTGGTGTCTGTTTTTTTACCAAAGCCCACATCGAGGAGTGTACAAAGTGGAAGTAAAGTGCTTATGCTATAAAATGAAAGGACTTCCAATGGTTCAAGGCACGGAGCCGTGTGTTGAGCACAGAGCGAACTATTCTTTCGCCTTTTACTAAAGAATACCGTGTGCTCGCCACTCAAAGCGGCATACGCCTATTTTTGGAAGAGCTCTCATTTGAGGGCTCTGCAATGTCAGTTAAATTTTCTAATATTTGTTACGTCTATTTTAGCTGATAGGGTATTGTTTGGAAATTTGTCAAATTTTTCGCCTGTAATCTCGATTAAAAACTTATTTAATTTGTTTATTTTATTTTAGCTGATAGGGTATTGTTTGGAAATTTGTCAAATTTTTCGCCTGTAATCTCGATTAAAAACTTATTTAATTTGTTTATTTTCTAGGGTCAGGTTTATTTGGTTTGAGGACGAAGTCTTATTCGAGCTTAATTATTTTTGTTTTGTTTGGGAATCGAGACAAAACAGAAGAGGTTTCTAGTTCATTGGGCAGGAAATCTTATAACTTCCGTGCGTTCTAGTTCAAGGTTAAGTTGTTGTTTTTGTCATCTATTCTTCTTTTATTTTTTCATGTTATTGAAGATAGATATTTTTTATCATAGATGGTAAGGTTTACTAATAGTTTAAAAAAAAGTGGTAGCAGAGTATGATTTCCTTTTGGTTTATTAACACTTTAGTTATTCTCGTATAAGATCCAGCTCTTAAGTGATGAAGCATGTACCGTTTGATTTGTTTTGTTGTGCTGTGCAGTAGCATTGTTTTATTGCCGAAAGGAGAAAGACATAATTTTGATTATTGGTTTGACCTTGTAGAGATTAAGAAAAATTTATATATAAACATACAATTCAAAACATGTTTTTTTCTTTTTTTGGTACAAAAAATTATGATTGTTGTAGTTGTAGAAGATAATGAGTATTTTGATTTAAGGGTTTTATAAGAGTTATTTTGTAGGAAAAGTGATTGTGTTATGTTATAGAGATTCGTTTTGCGTGCCAGAGTTTTTTTTTTAAAACATGCGAACTTCACAAAATGTTGTGTGTGTAGAAAATTTTTTGTGGTTAAATAATAGAATAGAAACCCTTAATTTAAACGGATTTTCGCTCATAATTGTTATCCCTTATAAATACAAATCCGCAAAATATAATTGTCATAACGATTTGCAAACAAGTTTTTTTTTCTCCCAAAGTGGTTGACGTTGAAATTGTTTCATCATCTAGAATATTGTCCGTCCTACACTTTCCACCATCTGGTTGGTGATTACAAGTAATTATATCAAATTTTTTTCTGCCATACTCATAAAAAGTTAATGAATCCCACACAAAAAATTTCTCCTCTTCATAAGGACCCATTCACCTTTATGACAGTATGGTAAAAAAAAATTCTGCAACAAAAATAGAACCATTTCTTCCAATCATAAAATATTTGAACCTACGAAAATTTCAATAGGGGAATGATTGAGATGATTTTCTAATTTATTACTTCCAATACAGGCCTCTTATTTCATAGCAAACAGCTTTATTAAATAGACGACGTAAGTTCTATATGAACAAAACGAAGATAAAATGAAATCTGATATTTGGATGGCGCTGAGATGAATTTTCATAAACAAAAGAATGCAGCCACTATAATATGAAGCAAATTACAAACGGAAACAGACAAAAATCATACATCCACTAAGACGGCTAGGAGTATTCCAGGCCCTGCTTTCCTACACCCTGTTTCCTTAACCCCTATTCTGTTGGCTTTCATCCTATCCTGTATTCTTTTTTTACTTCCTATTTAATGTACAAGTTAGCCTAACTATCATGTACTTACACATAAATCAATATTGCCTAGAGCTTCTAAGGCCACTCCTGCGGCCACTACTATTTATCTTGCGCATTCCACCGGTCCAATCCTCATCGTCATCCTCCTCGTCGAAGTCCCCACCTGCCATGTGTACGGGTTTCCGAACTTTTCTCGGCGTAGGTCGCTTCCGTTTTATATTTGCAGTGTAAAGTGTATAGTCCATAGTGTCTTCCTTCAATGCATTCTTAAATTCCTGGTGCAACAAATGAGAAATAACGGCGCTATAGAAACCCTCAATCTAATCAGATGCAACAAGCTTACAAGCGTATGAAAGAAAAATAAATTCACTTCAAAACTAAAATACCTGGTATCTTTGTATTAATTCTTGCGGACTTGTAGGCAAACTTAACTGACATTCACTAATGTTAAACGCAATATTCTGTCTGGATATGACCTCTCCAGGTTTTGGGGGCTCATTTGGAGAATAAGCCTGAATAAAAATGGGAACGTACCCCAAAGAGAGGACAGTTAGATTTCTATCTCATCTTATCCTAGTCAAAAGGATATACAGTATTTAAATGCAGCTAAGTGATGATGATGCATTATGTAACTTTACCTGACATCGGGCATCATTGAGACTATACATGATTTTTAGGTGCCTCTTTAGCTTTAAAAGAAGTTGCAATGCAATCGCCGATAAACAATCAACCTGCATAAGCATCGGGAACAAAACGACTGTGAACATATGACCAGAAAAATAACAATTAAAATGTGCATATTCTACTGTTTAGGCAGTACTAGGAAAATATTTCATTTTCTTGCTTGTAGAAAGCTTTTCGTTAGCAGAAATTTTCCCATTCTTCCTCAAACAAATCAACGTTATTGGCAAAAATAATCACTGCATGTTCCAAATTACCTGAATTTTCTCCAGATCTTCTTTTGAGAAGGCAAAAGAATCTGGCAAACTTGTAGCATGCGGCTTTGCTTCTGAGCTACCATTGTTTGATAAAGGATGATCTGGCTGTTGGTGATATGTTCCATTTAAATCCACTGATCTCATGTCATTGATATTGAGCTGAGCATCAAGGTTTTGCTGAAATGTTCCATTCAAGTCCATTGACATCACATGGGTTGTAAGTGTATGCTCATCTGGCCCCTGTTGATACATTCCATTCCCTTGAGGTGTACTATGACCCTCACTTCGCAACAAGCTTGAACTCCAGGCTTTAAAGTTAGCTTCCAGCGGCCCTGCCCTCACTTGAACTATTCGATTGATAGCATAGATTAAATAAAGTGGCTCATCAGGTAAAATGAATGGCAGCAATGCAAGGACCTCGGTGCAGTATCTGTTAAAAGAAACCAAGTCAATGGTCATTCAAGAACGCACATAAAAAACTAAAAATAGAAACAGACAGTACTTACGTTAAGAAAGCTATTACTAATCTGTTCCAGCGTGGATTATCAAATTTTCGTACAATTGAGGCCATAAATTTGTTCCGTGATAACCGATTCCCTCGAATGAGCTTGTATATTCGAGAAACCCCAAGTCTTGCTTGAGTGAGGGAGGCAACCTCAGGTTTCCCTTTTCCAGAGACAGGGTTCTTAGATTGGATCTTATGGTTAACATTTTCAGAACTACCGCAAATAGATTGTATGAACATAAATGACATCTGAAGTCCATCACCCAAGCGGCTTTCAAAAAATGCAGGGTACCTGAAAGATGCTTTTATTAGCTAATACAACCAAGTTTACAAGTACTAAGTCATCCAAAACTATATTTAGGAGATTACTTCTCATTCATATTCATTAGGAGATGATGAGCCAACTTTGAATTTGATTCCAGAGGATCTGTTTCAAGTGCTATAAGGTATGGAACACAGGTGATGGGATGAACAAGACCTTGGCGCAGCACTATTTCGACAATCTGTATTATTAGCAAATCTGTTATTATAAATATGTAAGAGCAAAAGAAAACCTCATTGGTTTTACTGGAATGCATAAGTTTCCAAAGAAAATAAGCTAATCAGAAAGATAGATGATTTAATTCACATTCCAAGGGACTGATAACTAACAAGCAAGATTCACCTATAAACTCCTTTGTAAAGCATCTACCTAATTTCTCATTCCCTTTCCCTCACCCATATCAATCGAAAAGATTTGGAGGAATAGAAACAACCACCACCGAAACAATACACACACACTCTCTCTCTCTCCCCCCTGTTTATTAAATGTTTTCAGTTCTCGTTATTTTATTTTTTATTTTATTTTTACTATTTTTAGCATTTGGCTTATCTGATCCAAAATAGAAGCTAGGTTCTAACCTTCAGGGCTGTTTGGCGAACTTGATCACTGAAATCCAAACATCTGCCTAAAATATTATCCCAATACAACTGAACTATGCCCCCGCATATGTTTGTATCCCCAGCACCAGCAGCAACAGGTACACTCTGCCCAGCTCCAACTGAGTATTCAGCTACATTATCATCAGCTTTATCTGTTTCCATTTTGCTTTCAGCATCAAGAAGATACTCGAACATGTTTTGCAATGCTTGAATCTGATTACCAGAATGATTTAGTAACCACAAAGAAGCAATGTATATATCAAGACGAAATATATTACCTTAAGGCGAGCATCAGCAGTAGAAGATAATGTTCCCTCCACTATCTTTCCAATATCATTTTCCAACATATAATCAGGCCTAGCAATTAGAACAAACCCTAGTGCCTACAAGAGTTACAATCTAACATTAACAAACTCCAAGATTAAACCAAGATGAGAACAGAAATAATGAGTAGCTCTTACCTGCAACGATCGAACCTTAATGATGAAATCCTCCACCGAAAGATACTTTATAAACAAGCTGATACTCCTTCTGACATCAATAAGTTTATTACTGGAGCTTGCTAACAAACAGTTGCCATAACGAATAAGCAACCCAAGACAGAAGAGAGATCGCCCAACTTGCTGTATATAGTAGATAACTATTCACACTCCATGACACAAAAATATATTCATAATCTTCATGTCAAAGCTAAATAAATTGAATACATAAATTAATGAGATTATATTATAATCTTCATGTCCATGTAGTTTAAGAATTCAATTTTTCCATTGCCATTTTAAACAAATAAATTTCTTAGTTTCCTGTTAAAAAGTCATTTGAGATTGGAGTTTTACAATGGGCTTTTTTTATGGGGGGTTTCGGGTTTCCATGACATTGATTTAGTTACTCATCAGACGTATGGCTCCCTCATCAGACTACTTTATGTATCCTTCAGCATTGTTAGAATGCATTTGTATAAGCTGTTTATATTATAGTATCACATTGTGTAAACAGGGTCCAAGCCCATGTAATTCCTTAATATAAATATACTTCCTCGTGTAGTCTGATTTGACACATAATTACCCAAACTTCAAGTAGCGTAATGCTAGAAACTTTCTAGCCAAGGAATTTTAAGGAACAAAAGTTGAGTACTGAAATTGAATCCAATTCGTGTTAGAATACAATTTAAGACAACGCTTATAGTATCATGGCAATCAACACAAAATCTGCTTACGACTAGTGAAGCCAAATTTATGTGTTAGAAGTCATATACCATTATCCCAGGCCAAGAAATACATAAACATCTTAAACTTACATCTTCAGAAAAGGTCTCTCAAGAAGAGAGCGTCTCACTGAAAGAAACTGAGCACGAGCAAGAAAATGATGAGAAGTGATAGAAACTGAGGGAAAATGAAAGAGAGAAAAACAGAGAAAATTCTCTGAAATTTGAGTGATTTTCATTCTAACAAACTCAGTCATGAGTCTCTCCCATCAACCCTTACGTTCATTCCTCCTCCTTTCTCATTAAAAACATGGTAATTCAAAGATAAAAAAATAGAAGGAAACTGAAATGTATGGGAATTGAATCTGAGAATGGAATAAAAAGGAATATGCGGTGTTCGAGAGAACTCTACTCTCCTAAGGCTACAGCAAGGTGCTGCCTAATAACACCAAATACTCCCCCCTCCCTTGTCTTTCAGCCTTTCCTTGCTTTAAACCAGCCTAATAACAGCATTATACCCTTCTCTCCACTCAAAGGCTGCCAGCTGGACATTCTAGAATAAACTATGTAACGGACTCACTTCCTATTGTCACTCCACTGTTCATCACTCTATTCTTCCTAGTGAACACCTTTTCTCTACAATAATATTTATTTTTCTATTAAAAAATTGAAAAGAAATTCAAAATCCCTGTGCGCTGCCCCCAGCCAAAAACAAGATACTATTTAATATTAGGCCATACAAAGACATCAAAAAGTTAGAACCAATCTGACCCCAATAATAATGCCCCCTTCCCCACTAAAAGAAATACAAAGCAACAGCATGATTTCCAAATCACAATTTTTTAGATAAAGTACGTATAATCTTGTTTTTAATAAGTTGAAAGATATTGCCATGAAGTACATGCACATAAATCCCAATAACAAATACACTAGTAAAGGCAAATTTTGACATGATTTGACAAATAAACCTGCTTGTTATCAACTGCCTGGGCTTCCAAATGTTTGAAGAAGACCTGAATAAGATGCTCAACTACAGCAGCCCCTTTTCCTGCCATCTTACTCAAAGAGCAGAGGCACCTATTAAGAGAAAAGTAATAAGACCTATAAGTAGGTGAACGGGCAGGCCAACTCTCTTCTTTTAGGGGGGGAAGGGGGATTTTCCAGGCTGGAAAAATTAGAGAATTTCACATCACACAAATATATCAGCTGGTTAATTCCAGGCTGAGGCATTACAAAAGTAAAAGAACACAGCTAACTGAAGAAAAAAATGGTGAGAAATCGTAGGTACTTGATACAAGCATGGACAACTGTCAAGAATGAATGCCGGACAATCATATGTTTCAAATCTTGCTCAAGTTCCTCAACAATACTCGGAGGTAACTTCCGAAGCAAGGGCAACACAGCATCAATTATAAATATTATACTCTCAAGTAGCTGTGCAACCATGCGATTGTCAACCTGAAAACAAGCAAAAATAAGATACTGAGCACTTTTGTCATTTGTACATTATATTTTCTTGTAGGCCAATAAAATATATAAGGAGAGGAATAAAATTAAATGTCAGAAACTTTAAAATACACAATTAATAATAAATAGATCAAAACTGAAGCAGAAACAAAATTTCATAATAGGATTTTGGTTGAGCATGCATCCAAGGAAGTCAAAATCAAGATCCAACCTAGGATCGAAGAGAGAGGGAAACGCATAAATCGTGTTGATAGTAACACAGATTGTAAGAATCTACCTAAGAAATAAAATTACATTCAAACACACACATTTATATAAAATAACACAAATAAGAAAAATAACCTTCAAATCACTACTAGCAGTAGTACACACAACACAAAGAATAGAACAGCTGAATGGCATATAAGTACAGAACACCTTCGTAGAGCAGGCTGCATCACAAAAGAACCAAGCATGAAGCAAAATAGAATGAATCAGTGGTGGCTGATCAGCCAAAACAACAAGAAGCAAGGCGCAGAACCCATCAAAGTTTGAACCAGAATGTTGCAACTTGAAACTCGAAACAGGAAGGTCGGCAGCAGCACAATGGAGATGCAAAGGGCTTCAGAAAGAAAGCCATCTAAACGAAATGGGCATTTAAAACCGGGTACAAGTCGGGTTTTTCAGTTGGGTGGACATGGGTGTTTCGAAAAGGGGTTTTTTAGAATGGGAGAGATCATCTGTACACTCGATCCCAACCAAACATGTTGGGATTTTGACTAGGAAGATCCTACAATCGTGCGAACTCACTAGGAAGATCGTGTTTTGGCTACCTTGCATACATCAGTTATAAACATACAAGAGATAGTTTATATAGTAGATGTAGCATACCTATTGGAAGTCTTAAATGTGGCAATCAGGGGAAGGGGGTGGGTTTTAGTGACCTGTCCCAGCCCAGCACCCTGCCACAACATATCTTTTTACCCATATCAAAACCCTAAAAAATTGTAATTGACTGATACGGTAATTCAATTAATAGATTATATTTACATAACAAACATAATATCAAAATAAGGAAACCAATCATATTATAAATTCTAAATTCTAAATTCTAAATTTATAAGGAAACCAATATCTTTTTGAACTGTCTCTAACCACAAGGTGTGGCTCACTTGGCAAACTTAACTCCATGTGGGCGGACTGCTTGTAACCCTCTAGAAGTATCTTGTGTCTAAGGCCAAGCTAACACCTAATTGGGAATTTCGCCCCACTCCCAATATGGAGACACCTCATGGTCTTGAGACTCTTGACAAAAAGGAGGACTGCATCCAATGCAACATGGCAGTCCCTTCCTCCAATTCAAGTAAAACTACTCTAGCTCAAATTTTTTTTTTCCGCCCTGCATGGCACACATTCTGGTCTTGAGACTCTTGATAAAAAGGAGGACTGCATCCAATGCAACATGGCAGTCCCTTGCTCTAATTCAAGTAAAACTACTCTAGCTCAAATTTTTTATTTCCGCCCTGCATGGCACACATTCTTCTAGCTGTTGCTGCTTCTTATCCGTTTTAAATTAGTTGTTTGTTTCTGTTCTTTTACTCATGACAGATTGTCACCAGCTGTCCAAATCATAGTTTTAAATAGCGGGTAGCGGACAGTAGTGGCCGACCCCCAAAACGATATATCGGTATAGCGGTACTGTGAAGTCCATATTTACTTAATAATAAATTATACCACATATATAAATACTATATAAATTCTATAAGATAAGAAATCACCCAAAATAGGAGGAAATGAGGAATGGAAAATATAATACTACACATTCAAAACAAGGATTCAAGAAACATAAAGGAATCAACATATTAATTCAATGAAAGTAACTAAATTAATAACAATACAGCCAAACACATTTTTTTTAAGGCCATTCTTATTACTTCAAAAGATCAATTATCTAATATATCATTTAATATGATTTATTTTATGTGAGAGAATTCTAAATATTAATGAATAAATCAACAGTAATAATTTTGTAATTTTCTATTTTAATATAAAATATAAATTTTTAAATTATATATATATATATTATGGTAACAAATTATTTTTATGTTACATTAGAAGATCATGCAAATTATAATTTATTTATTTTTTGTAGGTTACAGGGAATAGAACACACAACCACACACTCACACACACCCTATTACACACACCCACACCACTAGGCTAGCCCTAGTGGTTTTCGCAAATTATAATTTATTTAAAGTATATAATATAAATCTTGATTATTAAAAATAAATATATTTGATTAAAATGTGAATTGGTGGATAGAAAAACAATGGGACTTGAAATTATTGTTATTATGATTATAAATAAAATAGGAAAGAGGAGAATAGGGGTAATGATGCAGTGAACTAGGAGAAGGAGCTATCAAAACTCAGTTCCCAAGAATCTGAATCGTAGCTGCAGCATCACCTACAACCTTTTTTTCTCTTGACTTCTTCCCACTATTTCCTTTTTTTAATTATGTATTTGGTGGCATTATTAAGTTTTGTCAAACCAAGCACGGACACATTACCCAAAAGATGGTAGCATAATCAATGAAGGAAAAGGAAGGTGATAATGTTACCCAAAAAAAAGCTGGCTTTTTAAATAAAATATCTATTTTACCCCTTACTTATTCTGGCCTTTTCCTATTATACCCTTAAATGATACTCAAATTTACAAAATGCTGCCACCCATGCTTTTTACGTTTCTTTTTCTCCCTGAATGTCTGTAACTTCTCTTCCTTTCCTTGTAGCGGCGCGATAGCGCCGCAAGAGCTGCCGTCCGCCACCGCCGCAACCGGCCGCTACTGACCGCTACCGGAAACCGTCGTGTCGCGGTGCAAAAATAGCGGTTGGGTGCCGCAACGCAACTGAAGTGCTATAGCGGCGCTATTTCAATCATAGGTCCAAATCAAAAGGTTTTCTATTATTTCCTTTTTGGTTTATTCTCTGCCTCGAAAATTGTGATCCTTTTTGTTGTAAATACTATTATTATTTACAACACTCCCCCTCAAGCTGAGGAATAGATATTTATCATTCCCAACTTGCTAGTAAGTTCTTGAAATCTATCATTAGGGAAACCCTTAGTCAAGACATCAGTTAGTTGACGACCAGAAAGAATATATGGAGTAGTGATCAGTCCACTTCTAGTTTCTCTTTGATGAAGTGGCGGTCAATCTCAATATGCTTGGTTCGATCGTGTTGAGGATTGTGGGCTATACAGATAGCTGACTTATAATCACAGAGTAACTTCATAGATCCTTCACATCTCACCTTGAGATCATCAAGAATGATTTTCAGCCATAATAATTCAGATACCTTGAGCCATGGCCCGAAATTCTGCCTTTGCACTTGACCTAACAACCACATTTTGCTTTTTACTTCTCCATGTTACTAAATTTCCTTAGAGAAACATACAATAGCCTGAAGTAGACCGTCGGTCGGTCGGTCAGTCACGGGTCCAGTATAATCGGCGCCTGTATAAGGAGGCGTAGTGGCCAAAGAGATCCGATTTTTATGACGAGATCAAAGATCCATTGCTGGAAAAGTGTCTGATCAAGGAAGTAAGAGCAGATCTGGAACTAGGGAGCCAAGGTGAGTCCAACCGAGGTGGTCCAAGGCAGATCGGAGTTGAAAAGGCATCAGAATAGTACTGTTCCGATAAAAAACAGAAGCGGTCTGAGCTTTTTGGGGTTGTTTGGGTTGTTTTGTTACTGGGAAACGTCTGTAGATTGATACATATGGAAAAACAGAGTCAAACAGTGGTCCTCTTGGTCCAAAAGGTCCCCGAAAATTTTTTCCGGTGGCGGCTAGAGGCAAACAAATAGGGTTCCGATCTAAAGGCGACAGTTGCGGAAGCAGAGCCTTTATGATCGAGAGCTCTGATACCAACTTGAAAAGTAGGATTGTATTATATGAAAAAAATTTGTATTACAACTGTACAAGAGCTCTCTATTTAAAAAGACTAAATGACTGAATAGGCTAAGCCCAAAGAAGATTCTAGAATACCACTCCCTATTTAAAACTGTTATGAATAGTGTTAGAATAGTGGATAGAAGTCTCACATCGTGTGTATCTCTTTGTATTTTTCATTTGGTTTGTTATATAATAGAACCAACGTTGTGTAGTTTATCACAACACGAATTTATTTCAATGTTCCTTTCATCTCTTGTTTCTCTACATGATATCAAGAGCCTAACGAGAGAAATCCTAATCCGCCTTCCCTTATTTCTCTTTTCCAAAATTTTAATATGGTAATAGAGAGATATCACCCTTCATGAAGGATTTCCGCTGCCATCGTCAATTTCCGGCATCACCGGCCACAGTCAGCCACCGTCGTCCTCCACCAGAAAAGTTTTCCAGTGACCGTTCTAATCAACAAGTATGTCAACGGACTCAAAAGGAGCCGAACTACTCAACGTTGCCAGCCCCACCATCATTGGAGTCCTCACGCGCCACTTCAGTCTCTACGCGTGGCTGCAACACGCCACCTTCCTCCAGCACATGCGACATTTACAACGCCTGTTCACCGTCAACCAAGGGCAGACAAGGTTACCCATTTGCCTCTTTCCAGATTGGCCTTTATTTCGTTCAACGGAGATCGTTTGGGCCACCCACCTTCTTAAAGTCTCCACCGTTCACATTTGCTATTCGCGTTTGATGTTTTCCACCGTTCGCGTCTGACCCAGTTGCAAATCGTCGTCGTTGCTCCCTGCCGGTTCCAAATCTGTTCGTGCACTGTCAATTGTTCGCGAGGAAGTCCGCCCCCATTCGTCAGACCTGTTTTTCAGTCGAATTTGTTCATCAAACCAGCTGCTGTTGTTCGACCTCGTTGATGTTTTCCGGCAAAGCTCCGACGCTGCTATCTTTTTTGTCATCTTCTGTCGGTCTGTTCGCAGCACCCAATTAACTGTTTGTTGTGTTTGGTGCTATTAAGTGTTTGTTGTGTTTGCAATTGGCTTGGCTTATATTCTGGCCATTTTCATCATCGTCTTCCTTCCAGTGTTGCTCGCCAACTGTTTGACGAAATGCTTGAGAGGGATCTTTTCAATTGTCTTTGCCAACGTCCGGCGTGGTCATCCAATGCTACCAACTCTTCATACTGATGGTCATTCCAGTTGATTTGTTGTGCTACCGATTTCTCCGACTTATGTTCCTTGAAACTTCATTTTAGTCTTCTTTCTTCCCGAAATGGAGTGTCCCTCCATCTTGAGGGGGAGCACCATCCATGTTGTTGATGATAATTCCAACAGCTCAGTTGTTTCTGCCGAAGTTCATTCTGGCACCGTCCAAGTTGCTGATGATCATTCCAGCACAGATGTCTTAGTCGATGTCCATCCCGGCATCGTTTCGTCAATGTTTCTCCCGACACCATGTTAGCACACTGTTGATTTTGTTTCTTCATTCAAGAGAAGATTTATTTTGATGTTATGTCGGTCTTTGTTCTTCAAGCTTGTAGCACACGATCTTTATGCTCCAACTTGAAGGGAAGTGTTATGAATAGTGTTAGAATAGTGGTGTAGAAGTCTCACATCGTGTGTATCTCTTTGTATTTTTCATTTGGTTTGTTATATAATAGAATCAATGTTGTGTAGTTTAACACAACACAAATTTATATCAATGTTCCTTTCATCTCTTGTTTCTCAACAAAAATAAAATATTATTATTTACAACACTCCCTCTCAAGCTGAGTGTTAGAGATATATAAAATCATTAATGTAACCTCACTCAATAGCTTAAACTTTTGGATTGAATTAATTCTTTTATGGTATCAGAGTCTCGGTGTCATGGTTCGATCCTCACCGCCCCCCATTTAATTAATATTTAATTAATTCTTGTGGAGTTTCTGAGCATAGGTAGACTGGGCCTGATGCATCATCCACCCTTTAAGCCCAATGGACTCTCATGTGAGGGGGCGTGTTAGAGATATGATATATAAAATCATTAATATAGCCTTACTCAATATCTTAAACTTTTGAGTTGAATTGGTTCTTTACAGTTTTTGACCGGAAGATTACAAGTTCAAGTCTAGGAAACAATCTCTTTGCAAAATTACAAGGGTAAGACTACATATCATTAACCCTCAGTCCTACCATCGCAAAGTAAAGGAGAGCCTTTGTGCATTGGAATTTTCCTTTCTCTACCACGAAAATTGTGCTTTTCTCCTAAATCCATTCTTTTTCTTTCTTGTTTTTCTTTTGTTTGCGTTTATGGAAATTTGCATCAATGTTATGACTAATAGACTTTCTTAGTATTCTTATCATTTTTTACAACAAATCTAATACTTCAATCCCATGCTTAGGTTGATCCATTAACCAGCACGAACAAACTAAAACAACCCAAAAATGGTGGGAAGGTTTGATCAATGGGCTGGGATGGGTCTGAAATTAACAAACAACCAGGCTTGAGTTGAGTTGTGGGTTTTGACACACTCAACCTTAATCATTGAGACCGGACACCATCTTCAACCAAGGTTTATAGGGAAATAAAATGATCTTTTTATCTATGAAAGGGAATTTGACTAATAGCATTGATGGTTCTCAAATTGGAAGTGCTCTAACTCTGACAAATGGTATGCAACTCCACCAAAAAATTTAAGAATCATCTACTGACTTATAGTTATTGCCCTATTTGTTAGGAAATGTGCTTGAATTGATTGAGACTTTTTTTGGTTTTCAAAGCACCCTAGGCATGGAAAAAGGGGTTTGTGTGCGCACGAGTTCGGGAGGGGGAGAAGGGAAAATATAAGTGACCTCCAACATCATCCTCACACTCTGGGGTCAGTGCCAATTAAGCTACAAGCTTGTTGGCATTAGGATTGAGACTTTGATTAATGTAAAGAATGCTTTATATTGTTATTGGCTATGACGTGTTTAGACTCCATCACACTATGTCATATGCAATGGATTTCGAAAAATATTTTAGCAAGCTATTTTATTTTTTATGTTCAACCCAATCTGCACATGTGCAAGTCAGGTTGAAGGGGAAAACAAAAAATCAAAACCCAACCCACTGCTTTCATGAGTGGGTTGGGTCCAAAACTGCTAATCCATGAACACCCCTAGCTATTGTGCACAATCTGAATTTAATCTTTCTATTCTTTTCTTTGTTTGCCTTGATGAAAAGTTGCATCACTGTTTGACTTCAGGCATATCAACAAAAAGCTAGATTTTCTTATTATTCTTATCATTTTTATGTGAACAAATCGAACACTTTCTTTTCCACACTTGGGCTGTTGGGCACAATATATTGTAAATATCAAACAAACTAAAGTAATAAATTTTCCAAACTTGAGATAGCCTTCAGAATTTTAAGGTCATAAGGTTTCTTCTCGTGGTTGTTTGATCATTTTTAATGTTATTTTACAAAATGCTGGTGTCAAAATAAAATTTCATAATGAAAAGAAACATTATCTTAGACACAATAAATAAATATATTAAAAATAAAGTTAGATTAGTATGTATTAAAAAATAATTACAAAACAATACATAATTAAAAAAACAATTATGGAGGAAACATAAAGTTGAAAATATAGGTGAATTTTCAGTGGCATATACTAGTTTTTTTTCATTAATTTGAGAACAATTATAATATGTACAAATAATTAGTATATATGCATAACCAGAATTGGTTATAGGGGATGGAGTATACGTATCAGCCCCACAGCCCAGTCAAAGTCTGAAACAACCACCCCAACAAGGACAGGACACCGCAATGCTTAGCAATTTAAATTTGCCAGCCACTATATACCCAGCACTAATTAAAGAAATACAAGAGAAATAATGACACCGTACACATATACAATTCATAGTAATACTAGAGTAAACCAATATATAAAACTTAAGATGATAGTTATAACCTGAGTCTTCAGATATGGCTGCAAAGTAACAACAAATTGGGAAGGGTTAGAGGATGGAGCACAGAGAGTTGGATCCACAAGACAAAATGCATGCAAGACAAGCACATATGGAAGTGCATGTGCTTCAACTTCATCGCTGTTCACTTCCTCAACCTGATCGTGAACATAAACTGTGTCAATTTCATATCAATGTAGCCAAGCATAAAAGTTACATGCATGAACAAAAAACTAGTGTACCTGCAATATCTTCTCCAGCAAACATTTGCACATCAACTCACAACGCTTACGCACTGCTGCAAGGGACACTGGGTTGACCCCAATGGCTTTTGCAGATTGCGGCAAAAAATCAAGCGACAAGTTGCGCTTTATTACAGTTACAAGAAGTTGATTATTGGGCATTCTTCTCAACATTTCAACAATTTGATCCGTTTTCTTAGCTACCTCAAGTGGAACAGTACTACCATCTCCGAAGACCTGAGCTTGTGAACCAGAAGGCTCCTCAAACCAGAACTCAAAAAATGTTTTGCAAACAAGGTCCTATAAAACAGAAGCATAGTAGGGAGAACATTAACTCCGAAGAGGGTGAGGACATTGATAAATAAATAAAAGATCCTATCACAGGGCTTAGCATAAAATAAGTAGACGTTTACCTCCAATGACTAATAATTTACATGGCACAATGAAACTTTACAATATAAAGAGTAAAAATGAAGCCATAAATATTACATATCATCACCAATGCTCTAAAATAAGACCATGTTGGAGAGAAAGCATGTTAATCTCCAAAGACATAAACACATCATGCTACACTTAGTGGCATAAATTATAATTGTTGACAGCTAGGTAGAAAGTATTTAAAATACTTAGTGCCTGTTTGGGAGGTCTTTTTTTTAGCTTCTCTTCTCCTTATAAGTAGAAGCTAGGCCAAATAGGATTTTAAAAAAGCTCTTATAATAAAAAGAGCTTTTTTTATAATGAAAAAAAAACCCAAAAGCTCCTAAGAGGAGATTTTTTTAAGTTGTATCAGCTTTTTTTTAATGTGTTTTTTTTTAAATGAATAGTTTTTAAGCTAAAATTTTTGTATAATCAAAAAACAACTTGTAGCTTTATTTTTAAAGCTCTTATTTTTAACTTTTAACTTAAAAAAGAGAGGTGCCAAACAGGCTCTTAGTGACATATCTTAAAGGTTCAAGCAGTAATTTTAAAATACCTGGATACTTGATTCATCATCACTAACACGTGAAATTATCTCCGTGCAAGCTCTTGTAAACCCAGAGAAGTTGGCATTTGAACTGCACATATCTCGAATAATTTTTATGGCTCGTTTTCGAACACTGACTCCAGTATCTTTGATTCTCTCCGCAATCTTCTCAAAATACTACAACAAATATTCGAGAAATATGTTTTAACAATTCATAACCCAATTTTGGTGAAAGTGAAACCAATACAAGCTACGAGCTTTAAAGCATCTCCATAACAACTACGAAGTTTATAAGGCATGACCAGTTTTGTTTCTGATCATTAAGGAAAGATTCATTGACACATACCTTAAAACCCACATCTGGATGTGAAGCAATATGCCTACCAACAAGTTCCAATGCTGCTTCTCTAACAGATATCGCAGAGTCACAAAACCTTCCTTCGACCGCTAATTGTACTCGTTTATCACCCAATACCTCTGGATCAGCCTCTACAATGATACTAACCTGCTCATTATATTAAATGAGAGACAGAATTAATTTTGTATAAAGAAACTATTATAAGCATCCCATTTTCATTAGAAAGCAAAAACTCAAAAATATTTTAAACTTACTGCTCGTAAAGCCTTGGCCCTAATAACTGGAGAGTTCTCCATCAAGCTTGCCTATAATCATAAAAAAAAAAAAATCATAAGAAAAAACAGTGAAGTGTAATTTATTTCTTTTTTACACATCAGGGAAAGGGAGAATATAAACTGACCAGAAGCATGTGAAGAATCTTATCAAACCCTCGAGAAAGTGAACTGTTTTGGCACAAAGCTAAAGTAATCTTTTTGATTGAATCCCTTGTCAACATAGAAGACACAGTACCAGAATCCCGTACTATGATTCTTGATTTCATTCTAGCAAGGTAGTAAATGGACTTCTGCTGACAATTTGGATCATCTTTGTACCACATGCAGAGATAAAACCTACACATCATACACATGCATTACCTTTGCATAAACATAACTAAATTGTCAATTAGAAGATCTGTCATGACTACAAACCAGCAAATGAAAAGATGCAGGTCATCAGTGGAGGTGACATCTTGAAGGTAATTTAAAAGCAACTGTTGAACAATTTCATGCTTAGAAACATCAGAATCATCTTTAGATGCATTGCGATTCTTTCTGACATCATCCTTGCGCTGGGAACTGCAATATGATTGTAATACAAGCAGTTGCTTACAACAGATGCATGTCTGACAGTACGAGTTCCGGCTGGAAACTTCATGTTCTTTAATGCCCAGGCAATCAGTATGAAAAAGTCTCTGGCAGCTGTGACATATGAACAAGTTTTCTACCCTTCCACCCAAACAGACACAACACGTATCTTTTGGATAATGCTTAGAAGTAGAATCCTGACTAAATAAAAATTGAACTATCCAGAACTTTTCCCGGCTACAAATAACAGCATCACGCTTCAGCCTTGCAGCAATTGTACCAAGAATATCAATCGCCATGGAGCGTGCAGAGATATCCTTAGATTGCAGCCCAGCGTTCTGAAGTAGTAGGACACACAGAACCTGAAACAACTCTCAGCGGTAAACTAATCTGATAATTTACCAAAATAATAATACATACACAAACATGGAGATGCCTGCATGAACACAAAAGCTACCTCTAGAATAGGACCTGAAGCAGGATATTCAGGTAAATTTAGAGTTGTCAGTAAATCTGTAACAAGATTCTCTATTATGGATTTCAACTCAGAAGCATCCTGAGTCTTCACACTTGCAAGTCGCTGAAGCACACGGCTCCAAAATAGACAACAGGCTTCTGTTGCGGCCTCATTGCATTTAGTTGGATAACCAACATCAACCGAGACTTCTAATACAGCATTACCGCTCGATGCTTGTCTTAAAGCATCAGGAAGGTTAGCACTACAATGAATTAACTGAATCAGCAAAGCAGTAACCATCTGGATCTGCCTTTGTTCTTCCTCGCGTATGTGATAAGCTCTTAAAGCTCGTTTTGAATATGGTAATTTCCAAAGAAGCTGAAGCATTTCATCTATCACATAAGTGCGATGGTGTGTGTATAAATAGAATATCTGTACCACCATATTGGAAAAATAACAATTATAAAAGTTAGCTGCCTAAATGAGCATGAAAGCTAACATTCACAAAGTTTTCAAGATAAAAGAAAAGTGTCAGTACCGCACTGACTAAACCAATTGCCTTCAATTGCAAAAGCTGGATATTATCAACCAAGAATGTTGTAATGCTTGTTTTTACAAGTTGTAGAACGCAACTATCTGATAACCTCTCTATTAACAACAAATCCTTGAGTAGTCCAAGAACAGTACACAACTTCTGAAGAATAGTGTTCACAGCAGTAGAGACCCTAATCAAGCAAGGACCAAAGAGAAAATAATAAGAAAAGTATATGAACAAATCTAACATAAGACACATACAAAGCCAACTTAAAGGTCTTTTAAAGTGAAAATAATAAACAGACCTGCTTGATGCTGATTTCTTCAACTTCGAAGTCTTGCTAGTACGCCGTTTCTTGCTTGCTGAACCAAATTCAGCATCATTTTCTTCATAATCATCAACTGGAAAACAAATAAAGATTGGCAGTTTCAAACCACATAGAGGAAATAATTTCTTTTCACTCTCACTCCCTTTCTTTAGTCCCTAATGGACCCTATTGTATATTTTCTGTGAACTCTATCACCCCATAGTGACCCTCAAAGAAATTACAAAGCATCATTAACTGCAGATAAACTACGGTCAGAGATGCAATTTAAAACAAAAATCTAGCATCTCCATCCTCCAAAATGAAAAATTATGAAAGGAAAAAATGTTCTATTCAACACAAAGACTAAAAAGGCTAACCTTCAACTGCAGTGTTTTCACTAGGTCTATGTAGTGCACGGTAGGATGGATCACATGCACACATCACATCCATTATTTGACGCCTGGAAAACTCCAGAATTCTCTCGATGATCTGACATGGAAAAATTACTTTCAGACATTACAGATTATAATTATTAAAAAAGTAACAGTCCATGCATGTCATGGCAAGGTAAATCACTGATTTCATACATATATAACAATACTTTTCTCCTGCTGAGGGAGATGTTATTTGTATCTTTGCGCCAAGACAGGTTCTAATGAAGTTCTTGTTATTCATAATAATAATAATAGTTTTAAACTAGCATAAAGTACACACCTCTTCTTTATAAAGTTGTTTTGGCATCTCAGTATGAGCCATCACCGCCAGCGCAGCATGAATGGACTCCAACGCAATTAAGACAGATGAGATTAATTCTGAATCTGACTGAAACACACAATTATAACAGTTATAACAACAACAAAATCAAGAATGAATTCACTATGTAAATTGTGATTTAAACTCTAAACAACAACAACAACCAAGCCTTAATACAACTAGGCGGGGTCAACTACATGGATCAAACACGCCACTGGGCTCTATGAAAAGCCAATTTTCAATAAATCCATCAACTGCAAGGCCTTTTAATGGTTTCTCCTTAAGTTTTTTTTCAGACTTCCCCAACCTCTTTAATCAAAATATCTTCCTTTTGATCCACTTTCTCACTTGAAGCCTCTGTTGATCTTCTCCTCACATGATCAAACCATCTTGGGTGAGTCGGGTTTAGAGCCATTCTTGTTGACAAAATTTGCAAGAAGCAAGAAGTGAAAAACCTTGCCCTAGTGGTGTCTGTTTCTGGAGCTTTGGTGCACTTTGGTTGGAGTGAAATGGTAACAAATTCCAGGGTGCTTTGTTCTCCTTACCACTATTAAGGATAAATTAGTTTCAGTGGTTTCTCTTTGGTGCTCTGACCATATCTCCTCAAGGGAAACTCCCCATCAGACATAGGGAGGGTTGGAGAATTTGATCGCACTGATGCATTTGTTATTGTTGTTAATATTTTCCTTTCTACTGTATTCACTATGGAGGATATTTGGTCCCCTTTTCTACTTGTTATTTTCCAATGCTTACAGAAATCGCATGATTCACCATTCGGATCTTACAATTTGTTACGATTTGCCAAGCTAGCAATTCATATTATATGATAAATCGGAGATGGCTTTAAATCGTACGATACATGCATGAATCAATGTGATTCAGCATCACCAATGCCAATCACACGATTCAACGGTTCGTTCATTTTTTTTCTTACATCAATTTTCATAAAAGAAATTGAAAAGTCAAATAATTTCATCAAAAGGAACTAAAGGAACACCAATGAATTCACCCCATTTGATTATTCCATATCTTTGTTTCCATTCTTCTGAAATACAGGCTTCACACATTAACTCACTCTATACATCCTATTTGGCTATTCCATTGCTATATTTTCATTCTTTTGAAATAGAGGCTTTACAAAGTCACTCACTCACTCTATATGCACCTTACTTGGGGACATCATTACTATGTTTTCGTTATTTTGAATAGGCTTCATGCAATCACTTTATGTGATTCAGTTATGATTTATGACTTACGATTTTAATTTTTGAGACTTATGGCTAAGTTATTTTGTCAATTTCTAGTTCCTAATTTAAAATAATTGCATTGTGTATCATCCATTATTTATATAATATATTTCAAGCTTTTCATTGTCTCTGAATCTTACAATTCAATACAATTAAAAAAGTAGCTTAGCGATTCACGATTTGAATTGTGATTTCATGACTTTCTCTCAAACAATATTTCTTGTTCTATAAAAAAATATAACAATCAGACAGCTGTCAATTACAGTTTATAGTTACGCGTATTTCAAATTAATTCAGGAACGATGATAAGAAACAAAGTCTTGAAAATAAAATAAAAAATAGCATAATGTATGAAGACTCTGAGCTTAAATATTATGAATAGGTTTGTTCATGAATGTGAACAGCTTATAACAAGGCAATGTAGACACATGAAGATGGGGAAAGAAGCCTAAGTAAAAATTCAACTCAGAGTTATCAATAGATTAGAAAGCAAGACAAAAGGGAGAAAGTAGAAGGAGCAGATTAGAAGAACAAAGGAAATATAAAAATAAAAAACTAAATAAATTTTCAAAAATTTAAAAACAAATATTTTAATTTAACAGACCAAAATGACCGCTCTGAATTTTGGCTATTGTTAAAAAAAGGCAGAACAGATTTGTCAGACCAAAAAGTTAGAAATTTTGAATTATATGACTAATATTCCTCATTGAAGAGAAAACATACTACCATAGTCAAATGGATCTATGTACTAAAGCTACTTTGATATTAAATTCCTGTTTAGTACCCAATACAAGTCAGTTTTTAATAAACTTTATTAGAAAAATTGAGGTCGTCGTATTTAAAGGCAATTAAATCAAAACAAGCCTAAAACCTCAGCATAGACTAATACAAAAAAAGAATTGAAAGGTGAACTTACGTTATCACAATCCTCAATTGACATGCCTTCTGCTCTATGTATCTGATGATCTAGAACTTTTAGTAATCTAACAAGGATTTCTACGGGAACCAAATGCAGAAGTTTCTTCTCACGTATAGACATTATTTCATTAACAAGCAATCTAAGATCTGAAAGAGGCAATGGCAACCATTCTGCTTCATCTCGATCATCACTATTAAATTCAGCTTTGCTGCACAAGTCCTCCAAAAACTCACAAAATCTTCCAATGTTGGCATCTAAAAAGATTATAAATACAAGTTATTACATATGTTAAAGCAAGTGTTTGTGCCATATGCGCACGCAAGCGCACACACATACATTGAGAGAGATACAGAGACAGAACAAATAAAATTGTTGAGAAGTAGGATAGTAGTAACCAGCCATACCAACCTTGAAGCTCAGCAGGATCGAGATCAACAGATATTACATCGCCACCTCTCTTCTTGACTTTTGATTTTTTAGAAGACAATGTAGAAATGTCCTGCCAAATCATTTGGGATATAAGCAAATGAAAATATCTAATCATCAACTGTGTATATCAAACACATGCATACATTTGTGGAAAAATTATCAAGCTGGCGACTATGGGTCACGTTATAGTCTTTTTGAGTGTGACTTGGGACAGGAAAACTTGATTCAAAGGTGTTCTTATCAGGTAAAGCAATGCCAGAGATCTGCTCCTTGACAGGACCTGAGAAACTTGACCAATACAATAAACAATAAGCAGAGCACCATTAAATTATTTAACAAAAAGCAATAAGATCCAAGGAAAACAAAACCTGTATGTGGAAAAGGTAAATAGAATTATAAAGTTTGACAAACCCAAGTTCGAGTTTTACCAAACCAGCAAGTCACACTAAACCTCTTCGAAGTTATAACTGACAGTAATTTGTCAGCATGAAATCAAACTTTAAGTATGACAGTTTCTCTTTGTAAAAAATCTTATCCTGGCCAAATTTCTGAGTGCAAAAGTCACCCTCAATAACTGTCAGATAATTGTAGCCCAATGAGAAGCTACAGCCCTAAGAGATTTGAAATAAATCCACAAAGGTGATATTTAGGGCAGAAACCAAGTACTCTGTTTACCTGCAGCGCTGCATTTGAATGCTTCGGGATTGCACCTAAGAACTTCATCATGGAGTTCTAAAGGCTCAACATAGGTATGCGGAACACTCCTGGCATCATCTCTTAAATTCCTATATACGACAAAATATATAAAATTGTATTAAATTCAATTGTAACAGTAATAATAGTAACGACATAAACAACATTGATGAAGATGACGACATCAATACGTATCCCTTTACAGAGGCGCCAAAAATTTGGATATATGGAAACAGTTGGAATGAATGGCGTTTTATTTATAGTAAATCAACACAGGGAATAATATTCTATGCGCATTAGTGTGAACTGAGTCATAAAGTAGTTATATCTTTTCTCAATCAAAATCTCTCTCGTGAAATTTTTAAAAATAAAATTAAAAAAAAATACAGTTTTCACAAACTATAGTATTAAACCATATAGCACCTATTGTACTAGCATCCAATATTTGTAAGTCCAACACTAATCTGCGGGTGACCTAAACCTTCAAACTTCCTCATGAACAGGCAATCTAAATTTATTTAAAAAAAAAAAAAAAATATATATATATATATAGCTATAAATAAGAACACAGTCAACTACATAAGTCGCAGCAAAATTCATACCAGCACCAAAAGTCACACCTCATCACATACGGCAACAGTAAATCACAGGGAAATTCAAATGCTTCTAACTTCAGGTCACAACCACAAATTTCAATTGCACGTAAAAACTAATAATAAACACCAACGAAAATCGAACCTAATTTTGCTTTTCTCTACTAATTCAGCTTCCTAGTTACTAAAATCTCAGAATGTCGAGCAAAAACCGAAGTAGAAGCTTACAAGTAAGACACATCGGTGTGCCGGAGTAGCTCGGCGATCTTACTGGACTGCGCGAGCACGTCGACGCCGTTCAAATGCATCGGCGCGTCAAAGAGGCGGAGGTCCTGATCGGAAGCACCGCAGAACACCGGAAGCGACGGCAACGGCAAGCACGAAGCAACATCAGAGTGGACGGTGTTCGACAAGCTGATGCCGCGGTGGCCGGAGGACGCCACCGCCGTGACGGCGCCGGAAGTGACTGGAAAATTCATGAATTGGTCACCGGAAGAGCATGAAGATGCAGAACGCGTCAAAATGGGGAAATCTGAGGGCGAATTGAAGGGAATTAGGGTTTATGTGAAGAAATTAGAAAGTTGAGTGTGTGTGAGAGAGTAAGAGCCCTAGAGGGATAGATTGGGAAAAGAAATTGGAAGCGAATGGCGGGGAAAAGAGTGCGTTTCGGAAAATGTTTCGAGATTCATAAGGGAAAAAGGTTTCTAAGTGGATTTGGTTTTTATGTGTGTAAGAACAGAGTCCAATGGTTAAACTACCGATATACCCCTCATTCTTTGTGCTTAGATTGTTTCGTAAGCCAAAGTTCACGGAAAAAATGAGTTCGCAAGGGCTTTAGCCCCTTTGATGTACCCACAAAAAAATGAGTTCGCCTTAATTGTTTAAGAAAGAAATTATTATTAGTATTAGTATAGTTTAAACGAGATATTCATTATTGTATTGCATTAATTAGTATATAATTAACTCTTTGATTAGATGATTAAGATCCATAATTAAACTCCTGGTTAATTTTTTGTTGGATACAGTCTTTACCTTGCATGTTGGGGACCTTAAATTATAGTTGTTGATGTTTATATCAACGACAAACAATAATAATTAATTACTCTTTTTTTTTTTTTGAGATGTTCCGATCAGTTAATTGTTTCGCGACTAGTCCGATTCAGGACGGATTCCAAGATTAAAATTTTAAATCCCTGGTAAAGAGACGGTAAAAACAATGTTTAGTGTAAGTAGTCAAATTAATTCGTATTTTGAAAATTACTTAATCTTTTTATTAACTACATTAGTTAAAATTAATACAAGCAACTTCTTCCTCGTACCCGAACCAAAACCATATATTACCTTCAATTTAGGAATATTATACTAGAAAGCACTTCATCTTCATTTTTTTTCTTGCTATAATTAGAATTAATGACGAGACTATGAATTTTCAATTCCAAATTGTTATACCATCCATGGCAAACCACAGAGGCCTATCACTGACAATAGTTACATGGGAGTAGAGGTGTGCAAAAAAACGGGTTCACTTGTTCTGCTCTGCCCTTGACCTGACCCATAAATACCTACATTTTTTGAATTGGTTTAAATACTGACCCACTTTTATTTGGGTCAGTTTTAGACCTGACTTGTTTTAATATTGACTCATTGACCCAAAACTTGACTCATACCCATTATGTGAAAAAAAAAAAAATCACAGTTACATTAAAAGATAAGTTTTAACGTAAAACAATTACGTCAAAATTTTTTACGAAAAATATTTCCATACAAAATGTTCGCAAAATTTTTTGACGAAAACTATTTTCATCAAAATTTGTGACTAAAAATATTTCTCTAAAAAAATTTGACGGAATATTTTTTTTGTCAAAATTTTTTACAGAATCTAAATTTCGACAAAATATTTAACAAAAAAATATATTCATCAAAAATTACGCCGAAACATATTTCCATCGAAATTTTTTGACAGAAAAAAAATTTCATCAAAATTCTTTACAGAATTCGAATTTCGGCGAAAGTTTTCGACGGAAACATTTTCATTAAACTTTTTGATAAAAAAAAATTCGTCAAAATTTTTAGCGAAACACATTTCTATAAAAAATTTTCGATTAAATATTTTGTCATGTTTTTTGATAAAAAATATTTCCATCAAAATTTTCAACGGAACACATTTCTGTAAAATAATTTCGTAAAAATTTTTGACAAAAAATATTTCGATAAAAATTTTGACAAAAAAATATTCTGTCAAAATTCTTTAGAGAATCTAAATTTCGTCGAAAGTTTCGAAAGAAACATTTTCCTCAAAACAATTTCCATCGAAAATTTGGACGAAACACATTTCCATCAAAAAAATTTCACGGAAAAAAATTTCATCAAAATTCTTTATAGATTTCAAATTTCGGCGAAAGTTTTCAACGGAAAAATTTTCGTTAAACTTTTTGACAAAAAAAAAAATTCGTCGAAATTTTTAGTAAAACACATTTCCATCGAAAATTTTCAACTAAATATTTTCGTCAAGTTTTTTGATAAAAAATATTTCCATCAAAATTTCTACGGAACATATTTCTGTAAAAAAAAAATTCGATAAAAAATTTTGACGGAAAAAATATTCTGTCAAAATTCTTTAGAGAATCTAAATTTCGTTGAAAGTTTCGAATGAAACATTTTTCTCGAAACAATTACCGTAGAAATTATCGTCAGAACACATTCCCATCGAAATTTTGAACGAAAAACGTTGCATCAAAATTTTTGATAGAATTTTTTTTTCGTTTAAAACATTTGATGGAAGAAATCATTTTCGTCAAAACTTTTGACGGAAACTAAATTTCGATAGAAAATTTATTTTTGTAAACATTTTCTTTAGAGAAAAAATTTCGATGCTTTTCGACAAAAAGTATTCCGACGAAAAAATAATTTTGTGACGAAATTCTCGTCATTTGCAATGTAGAAATTTCGATGAAATTTTGTGAGGAAACCAAGTCAAAAACGGGTCAGGTCAGATTTGACCCACTTCAGAAACCAAGTCAGACCCACTTCAGAAACCAAGTCAGGTCAGATCCGATCCAGTTATGAACTAGTTCAACAAAATCCAAACCAAGTCAGACCTGACTTGGATCAAATTAAAGCGGGTCGGGTCAAAATACCGGACCTATAAAAACCAAGTTTGGTCGAGTCTGACAAAAACCTGACCCGACATGACCCACGCACAGCCCTACATGTGAGTCCAGAGGAGCAGGAAATCACTATCAATTGACTAAGCTACATTAACTATATCAAGTGGGTTCGATATCATGTCATAACTCAAAATCTTAAGATGTTGGGTTCATGAGTCCTCCCATTTATATGCATTTTGTTTAACTCATTATCAACCAATGTGAGACTTTATCATACTTTAATATCCCAACATTACATAGATATTTGAATCAACACCTTCTTAGATGGTGGTGGATATGAAAATAAAAGGGATGGAGAGGGGATAAAGAAAAGTATGAGAGATTTTGTAATAATTGATTAAAACAAAGGATGAAGTTTCATGATGGAAGAATCTACAACTTGGGTTTTAGGGAACACCATTGAAAGTTGCACTTGCATCCATATTACATACATTTTTGTTAACTTTGTTCTATCGATGAGGAAGTAAATGTAGGCGCAATTGGTTCTGAGGAAACGTTTAGACTATTGCGTTTTGGGATGCGACGGATCATCATTGTTTTTTGTTGTCCTTTTGTCGCGTAGATCTATGAATTATCTTCTCGTATTTGATTCCTCTTCACAAATAATCCTCTTGAGTCTGGCTAGTGGTAGATCTTCCAGAGTATCTCTCAAGGGGGATAGGATTGATATGTGGGCACTCTTCACTATCATATAGTTGACCTTACCTCAACCTCTGCAACCACCAAGCGAAGACTAGGAGGCTAATGACTATAACTGCAGAATATATATGGGTTCCAAGAAATCCTAGCCCTAAGCTGAATATGCTCTAGGTTTCTTGGGCTCTTCTTACACTCTAGGCCTAATTAGGCTTTAGTGAAAGAGCAAACCCAACAATCTTCCACTTGCTCTTGCATACAAACTTGAACCCAAAACCCAAGACCATATAACTCACTAGTCGTCATCAACTAAAAATGCTTCATCCCTTATCTCGAGCTAGCCTGGGGATCTACCAACTGTTATTAATCTAGGCTCCTGATAATTCAGTGCTACTCCACTAAAAGCCCGAACTTGAACTCCAAGATTAATAACACATAATATAAATACGCATCGCCCATTTGTAGAATGTCGATAATTGACTGATAAGTTTTATGTTACTCAATCACTTATTTATTCTCTTGACTGTGGTAGTTTCTCTAATGGATTGCATGCACTGGCCAGTGTCTTTAATATCCCAGTACTGAAACATATCAAGGGGATATTTCCTACAAATTTCATATTGTTTATCTCATAAATATTGATAATCAAATAATCTCACTCCTAAAATACCAAGTTATTGGTCATCAAAAGATCGAACATCATGTTATCAAAAAAAAAAAAAAAAAAGATCGAACATCACCCATTGGTAAATCAAAGAATGAAAACTATTTAATTACCTATTTATAATAAACTCACGATTAAGAGCAATTACATAATTATAGTTAATTGGAGACTTGATACCTTATGACAGAAAAATAATCTTAATCAAATCTCTCTTTGATCCTTTCAATGTGAATGTTAATCTACACCAATGTTTTACAATGTTTCAGACAAAACCATTTCATAAAATATTGCAGCCTAAATAAAGTGCCCAACTTTATTTAACAATTGTGAACCAATTCATCAATCGTGAGAACCTATGATCACGTCAAGTCCTCTGTGAACGTATCTAAATGATCATATACTCCACAATTCATCTGAATCTTAATGTTTGTAAATTGTGTTTACAAAATAATTAATAATATCTTATTTGTAAAATTCAGGAAATGATTACATCATTTCATTATCTTACTCTAAGAGCACAATGAACACAATATCTCTCACTCGTTTAATGCAAGTATGGGATCCTCCTAAGACCCAAAGAAGCAATATGTCTCTTGAACACAAGTTTAGGTAAACTCTTAGTAATTGGGTCTGCAAGATCCACCTCTAATGTTATCTTAGTTTAGTGAAAAACTCATAGCTCTAGTTTGATTTTCTTGAGTTAATATCCACTTGAAAAACTTCTGAAAACTCAGTTTTTCAAGACTCTCACAACAATATACCATCATATAATCTCTCGTTCTCAGAAGATACTTGAGTCTATGGTTAACAGTAATCTAGTCTTCCTCTATGATCAAAACAACATCGTCTCACTACTGCCACTGTTTGGAAGATATCTGGTTCATCGCACCACATGGTATACATGAGACTACCTATTTCCAAAACAAAAGGTATCCTACTTATGCATTTTTTTTTCTCAAGAGTCTTTATAGGTTACACCTTAGGAAGATGAATTCCACGTCTGAGAGACCTGATTTTCCTCTTAGAATTCCGCATGTTGAATTTTGGTAAGAGTTTTGTCAATATAAGTAGCCTAAGGTGATACCAACAACTTATTCTTCTCGTCTCATAAGAGTTTTATACCAATAATATAATTGGCTTTTCCAGGACTTTCATATCAAAAAGCTTACTCAGCCAACTCTTTATGCTTAATATTACCTCCAC